AGTCTGCACTACACATTGTTTCTCTAATTGCATTTAGGATTACATATAAATTGCATGCTGCTCTCACCTTCTTAGATAAACCTACTAGCATCTCAAGTGGAGTTTAAACTACGGGCAAATTAAAAAAAAAAGAATTAAAAAAAGATATCATCTCTCTAAACATGCTTCCTAAGTTGCTGAAATATTTTTTCTTTAACTTTGTACTCAATACATTTAACAAGCAGCTCTGTTCTTCATGAGGATGCACCATATTTTTCGCTCTATAGGATGCACCGGACCACAAGACGCACCTAGTTTTTAGAGGGGGAAATCAAGGGGAAAAAATATTATTTCCCCTCCCCAGCCCCAAAGAGCTACGCGCAGCCTGTCCGCTTCTCCCAGAGCTTCTCGGGGCTGCGGGGGACGCCCGGGTTCCCCCCCCCCGGCCCCAAAGAGCAAAGAAGCCAAGACAGCGAGCGGGATCCATCCCGCTCGCTGCCTTGGCTTCCTCTTTAGCCTTGCGCAACCTCCCCCGGCTGGAGAGGCTGCTATGGCAATTCCCCCACCTCCTGCAAAAGCCCACAGGAGCCGCGCACCCTTTAAGGAGCGAATGGCTCCTGCGGGCTTTTCTACGAGGAGGGAGAAGGGACTGACTGGCCATGTCAGTCCTTTCTCCCTCCTGGGGGAAAGCCCGCAAGAGCCGCGCGAAGCTTGTGTGCGGCTCTTGGGGGCTTTTCCTGCCTGCCTCCCCCCTGCATTCGCTCCATAGGATGCACAGACTTTCCCCCTTAGTTTTTAAGAGGGGGGAAAGTGCGTCCTATGGAGTGAAAAATACGGTAAGTTTTATTACTGACAGAATCATTCACCTTTAAGATTGTTATTTAGCCCAGTCTACTGGCCAGTCTTCTTTTGCCACATTTAGCATTTTACTGTACTCTGTGTGATGGATGTTAGGATATAAAGAGCACCATATTAATTGAAACAAGTTTGTAAATCAACCTGGAGAACTCCAGAGCCGATAACAGATTTGAAATTACTCCAATACATATAATTGCCTCGGTTTTAACAAGGTTGTGTCCATGCTAGAGACCTTTAGGCATTGCCTTTTCTTAGTCACCAAGATGTGGAATTAAAACAGAGGTTCTTCACAGCACTGTCCCAGAATTTAGAGGCTTTTATGATGTTTACTTGCCATGGCCTTGGTCTTAAGCTGAGAGTAGGAGCAGGAGACCGCTGAGCCTAGAGCTGTGGTGATACCAGCTGAGGAACTTGACTTACGGCTACAGATGTACCAGACAGTGCCTGGAGCACACCAAGCTGGTGGTCACAAAAAGGCAAGTGATTGTGCTCCTCTTCCCTTTGCTAGATGGTTGGGGTAACTTTCAGTGGCTGTGTGTGCACTGTAGCTTTAAAAGCATATAAAAACACATTACTTCCCTCAAATGATTACATGCACTGTAGTCAAGGGTTGCTTGGAATTGTAACTCTGTGAAGGGTAAACTACAGCGCCCAGAATTATTAATTTTTTTTGGGGGGTGTGCTTTAAAGGTACAGTGTGTACATGGCCAGCAACTCATCATCCTATGAAAATAGGTCTATTCTGCAAAATTCTGCAATGGAAGTGGGCAGGCCAGCAACAGTTGCTCCTAGGTGGGAAACCAAAGAGGCTGCAGGTATAAATTTACCAGGGTTCTTGATATTTTCATCTTTCCACAGCAGGACAAGTGATGTGGATTTTACCCTGACTTGAGATTTATACTCAAATGCTGCCATTAATTTTGTACATGTCCCATAAATGTATCACGAATAGGAAACAAAACAGCTTGTTCAGCAGCTTCCCAACTGCATAGAACACACAAAAAATAATAATTTAGAGTGAAAAGCATATTAGCGTTCATCCTTATTATCCATATGCCTTTTATACACGAATCCATTCATTGTTTATATAAATGTGATTACTTTGGTCTCTGCAATTCAACTCCCCCCCCCCAAATAAATAATAATCCTTCACTTAGAGCAATTACATTTTTGTATGAAAATACTTACCTTCAACGGAAGACAATAGTTTTCTATTGCGGCATTATTCAGAAGTTATGCCTGTGTGACAAAATAAAACAAAAAGAGCTTTGTGTTTAGAAATACTCAGCTGATACAAAGACTGATCCTCAGAAGTTCTGTTGGCACCACCCTCTACAGACTGAATTAGGGCTTTTTAGTATATCAAGAAGATAAGTCTAGCTGCAGGGCAGCTAGTCTTACTGTGTGTGGCACGGGAGGAGGAGCCACATTCCTGATCTAATTCTTTTTATTCAATTAATTCTTACATTAATTTGCTGCTGTGCAAAGACCCAGCCTACATAGAAATTTCAAAAAGAAAATGTTCACAAAATGGTAGGGCATTGTTCTTGGGGAAAGGACAACAATATTTATCCCAGTATTTATCCCAGTATGTTTCTGAGCACAATTCAAAGTGTTGGTGCTGACCTTTAAAGCCCTAAATGGCCTCGGTCCAGTATATCTGAAGGAGCGTCTCCACCCCCATTGTTCTACCCAGACACTGAGGTCCAGCACCGAGGGCCTTCTGGCGGTTTCCTCACTGCGAGAAGCCAAGTTACAGGGAACCAGGCAGAGGGCCTTCTCGGTAGTGGCACCCGCCCTGTTGAACGCTCTCCCACCAGATGTCAAAGAGAACAACAACTACCAGACTTTTAGAAGACATCTGAAGGCAGCCCTGTTTAGGGAAGCTTTTAATGTTTGATGTATTACAGTATTTTAATATTTTTTTGGAAGCCACCCAGAGTGGCTGGGGAAGCCCAGCCAGATGGGCGGGGTATAAATAAATTATTATTATTATTATTAGTAGTAATGTTTTTCAAAGGGCTGGATGAGCACTCAACTTGGATATTACAACTAGGGAAATTCAACCTCTAAACTACAGGTGGTGAACAGCCCGTGGCCCCGGGCCTCTCCATTTGGCTTGCATGGCCATTTTGACCAAACCACACCTACCTGCCCTAAACCTAACATATGCTATCAGGTGTGGGGCAGGTAAGGGCCTGGCTTGATTGAAAGGGTCTTTGCAGACCCTCCTTCCTAAGTGCTGATTGTTGGGCACTTTGGAAAGCACTGTGCTTGGTGCTGCAGAGCACTCAAACATTTGACAACCAGCTGGTTGTGAGGTGCTTTGGAAGCGCTGTGCTTGAAGAAGAAGAAAAAGGAGGAGGAGGAGGAGTTTGGATTTGATATCCTGCTTTATCACTACCCTAAGGAGTCTCAAAGTGGCTAACATTCTCCTTTCCCTTCCTCCCCCACAACAAACACTCTGTGAGGTGAGTGGGGCTGAGAGACTTCAAAGAAGTGTGACTAGCCCAAGGTCACCCAGCAGCTGCCTGTGGAGGAGCGGAGACGCGAACCTGGTTCACCAGATTACGAGTCCACGGCTCTTAACCACTATATCACATTGGCATTTCCCAAGCACAGGGTTTGTAAAGCCCACCACTTCTGGTTATTGGTCCAGTTACTGGTTGGTTATTTGTCCAGTTTTTGGTCCACGTCCACCTTGCCCTGGAATATATACTTCAGTCAGCAGTAGCTCTCTGGGGTGTAAGGTTTTCTCTCTGTCTCCCAAATCTTGCTTTTCAGAACGGGTGCTAGACTCTAAAGAAACCTTTTCCAATCTGGTGCCATCCAGATTTTGAACTGTGGTCAAGCTGACAGGGAGTGAGGGAAGTTATAGTCCAAATTGTTTAGAGGGCACAAGCATAAAGAACACTGCTATACTGAAACAAGGGCATAACAATCTGCCATCTCAGACCAAAGGCAAAGGCTGCGGCTCAGTAGAGAATCCACTTTGCCTACAGAAGATCTCAGCTTCAACCCCAAGCATCTCCACAGGACTAAGAGAAAAGTCGGAGAGCTGCTTGCAGTTGGGTAGGCAAAGCTGGCCCAACGGGACAATGGTCCGTCTTGGCATAAGCCATAAGGCATCTTCCTAGGTCTCATCTAGTTACCGTATTTTTTGCCCTATAGGACGCACTTTTTCCCCTCCAAAAATGAAGGGGAAATGTGTGTGCGTCCTATGGGGCGAATGCAAGCTTTCGCTGAAGCCTGGAGAGCGAGAGGGGTCGGTGCGCACCCGCCCCAGCCCCGCGCCTGGGGAGGGGAAATATTTTTTTTTCTTTATTTCCCCCCCCCAAAAAAAATTAGGTGCGCCCTATGGGGCGAAAAATACGGTACATTTGTTTTGCAATTCAACTGTTACACAAGTCGCTCAGAGAGCGTTATGTTTTAAGGCAGCGTACAAATATTGTAAATATACGATAATAAGAACAATAGTCCAGTACAGTGCTTGCCAACCAGGTCCCTTCAGGAAGGCCACAAGCAGGGCTCAGAAGGCAATATAGTTCTCCTGCTGTCACTTGCTTGTCCCCAAGAAACACGTTTGACTCGTCTTCTGATATTTGAGGAGCAAGGTACCTCCATAATTTTGAGACACTTGACAGATGTCAGATGAAGGAAGAATATTTTTGTCTCTATTAATGATTTTACTTTTTAAGCTGTAAGCAGTACCAAAGAAAAAAGACATTCCAAGCTGAGCCACAAATTTGAATCTTTATTTCCAGAGGGCAGTCAACACACAAATGGAGAAGAGAGCATTATTTTCCTTGTTCAGCAGGAAAAACACACACCCCCACCACAAATTCCGACTACTAGACACAAGACATTTTTTTTATTTCTTGGGGACCTTTATAACATAGAGGAGTCTGGATCGTCAGGAAAGGCTCTGCTTTGGAAAGCAATGCATGTCGAGCCCTCGCCCTCCCCCTCTCAGTCTGACTGTAAAAGGGGACAACATCTAAGGCCTATTTCTGTGTGAACAGTCGAGGGCCGTCAGAACGCTCGCGCGCGGGGGCGAGCGAGGGAAGGCAACCCTTTTGGGCGAGGGCGCGCCGAGCTGCTAGGCGTCGGCCGCTTGAACGCGCAGGGCGGGGCCTCGCGGAAAGAGCAAGGGCGGCCCAGAGGGAAGGGGCTTGCCCGGCTACGCTCCGTCGCAGCACCGCCCCCTTGTGGGACGCTATAAACAGCTGCAAGGGAAACCCGGCTGGCTTCTGCGGGGCGCGCGCTTGTCGCACTTGTGGCGGAGTTGGTGGAGAGCCCTGGGAGAAGGAGCTTCGGAAGCAGCTGGTGGCCGCGCGCCCAGGTAAGACGCGGCGGCGCTGCTTCCTCAGCGGCTGGCTTGATTTTGTTCCTCTTTCTGTGTTCGTCCTCCACAGTCTCGCCTTTCTGCACAGGCTGGCCGCTTCGCTTTCCTGGGTTTTTAACGGGGGCGCGGGCCACGCTGGGCTGGCGCCCCTAGGTTTCCATCTCTTTCGGAAGCGGGCGTCCTGGCGGTGGGCATATCCACGACCCCTGGAGCCGGGACGCCCGGCTCTGTTGCTCCGCGCGTGTGGATGCTCCTGCTGCTCTTCTGCGGGGAGGGGGGGGAAGAGTATAAATCTCTGCACATGCTCGGAGAAGCGAGTTGGGTTCAGTGTATTCCCGTGTTTTCGTGGGCTGTCTTGGAATGGACGGGTCATAACCCTAGTCAGAGGCAATTTTATCTTCTCCCTTCTCCTGCCGCTTCTCCCCACTTTGCGCAGCCATCGCAGTTCATGGAAGCCGGGCGTTAACCCAGCTGTAAGCTGTGCTTCTCTCAAAGCTTTGCATATAGCGCCCAGCAGGGCCCAGTGTATCTGGAAAGGTGAACGTTTCAGAATTGAACCCATTTTATGGCAGCCTTTTCTTCTGCTCCTGAGCACCTTTTGGAAAAGTTTCACTGGGAACTTCGGGTGGGGTGAGATAATGAGGTTAAAGGAATTTGTTTAACTCTTGCCTGGAAGCTGCTCCTGTTTCCCAGCTCCCTGTGCTCATTTGTAAAGTTTGGCTTATTGGTGGGAAAGCAGGAAAGCTACTCAGCGCACTTCTTGTTTCTAAATGATGCTAAGTCTAGTGATGTGAGCGAGCAGTGTGTCTGGAAACGGGTTCCCTTTAACGTGCATTGGGTAGAGTCTCTTGGGGACATACCTATGGATAGTTGACTGCTATCCTGTTAATAAACCAATTCTTAAAAGCTTATTCAGGTTGGCCCTGCATACTAATCTATAATGGAAGAAACTACTGCTTGGTAAATATCCATGGTATGCTGTAGGTATTCTGCTTCATTGATAGATCCTGTTGAACAATCTTTGGGCAGTTTGTTTTTCCAAGTTTGTGAAATGGCTCTTTTAATAGGCATGGATTAATTAGGAAAAGACCAGCTACTTGTCATAAACCCCTTAGTGCAAAGCTAAATGCTGCAGGTAATGGGATTTAGTTGCAAGTCACATGCCCTGACAGCAAGTTCAAGTCACCTGCTTGTTAATTGTCTTGACCCCAAAATTAGCTACTGCCAGGTTGAAGATAGGCTAGTGGCAGGTTTTTAGTCTTCTAAAAATGAGTGTGCAGCTGTTGACATAAGAAGTAGAACAGAATTGCTGCAAAATCCATTTAAAGTAGGTGACTCTGGAGACTTTTTATTCCAGTGTCTGGATATATAGAATTTAGAATGTATAAATGTTTATTGGCTATATGCCATTGTAGTAGTAATCTTGGCAAGTATGCAGTATTCTGCTTTTCAAGAAGCCCTTTTATGAGAGACAAAATGCATAACTGTCTCCCTCGCTGCAAGGGTTTGGTAAACTTCATGCAATACCCCTTCTTCCACACTTTTAAACCATTTTCTTTGGGTTTTGTTTGAAATTGTTGTAAGCAGCGCCAAATTGCTTTTTGACTGAACAGCGGTGGTACAAAATATTGTAACAGATAATAGATGCAAGAGTTACGGCTTTGGGGTTTATAACCCCATAATTGCTTACAGGGGGGAAACTCCCCATTTTTTGCAACAGATTTTTATTTCTCCAACACCTAGAACAGGTTCTGTCATGAACTGCAAGAGTCAGGAGGATGGAAATGGAAAACTGAATCCCATTGGCCCTTGAAGGTAGTTGCATAATTCCTTGGCTCTGTCATGCCTGATTCTTCAAACTTGTTTAACAGCCTGGATACTATCCTATAGAACAGTGTAGATTATTTTCTAGCCTAGATTGCCTGCTCTGTGGCTGCTGTTGGATTAGTACTCTTAAAGTTACCCTAACACTTTTAAAGTTTAACAATTAATATATTTACATATTTTGTTTTTGTTTTTTTAAGCATTTTTAGCTTGCCTTCTGTCACACTCAAGGCAGTTTACAATGCAAAATTATATGCCACAAATTAAAATAACCAAAACATAGACATAGTAACACCACAATATTGTATGGACAAACAGAATCAAGTGTGTGGGGACTACTAGAATTACTGAGATCTAGAATCTGTAAGGAGTTAGACAGGGTCATTCTTTTCTAGCACAGCAAATAGTACATCCCTCCAAGCTGGGAGAACTGGCATTGGAATGGTAAATACATAAGACAAATTCATTGAGAATAAAGCTCTCAATGACCCCTAACTATGCAGGTTTCCCCTTCTGAAATTAGCAATGGAAGCTTCCTCCTTGGTGGAAAAAACAGTAGCTTCATGAGGACAGGGAGGTTTTCCTCAGAATGACAGCATAAAGCGAGGCTTAAAAAAAAAAAAGCATCCTGTAATCTTGGTCCTGATCTTGCAGCTGCTACTTATCTTTCTGTTAAATATGCGTGCTAATTGCAGTTGTTCAAGTAAGGTTGCATCTAGTTTAGCCCTGAGAAATGCCAACTTGCTGAAGATCTCCTACTATAAACTCTTTGCCAAAGCTGACTTCTTATTCCCAAATCATATGTACTGCTGAATCCAACTGCACTAGCAGACACATTCTGCTCACTAGGAATTTCAGAATAGTTCTAGAGTTGTAATCCACAATAGATCTCTTCTGTAGAGAGAGATTTTTCAAATGGAGCAAGTTGCGTTCCAAGATGGACCGCTTGATGGTTTCCGAAGTCTCTCCTGCAAGTGGTTTGTGAGTGCCGCCTTCTTGTAGACCTGCATTATTATTTATTTCGTTAATTTTCTGTACCAACCCTCATCCGAGAATCATAGGGTGGTTTACAATACAAAAACACAAAAATATAAAACATACTGACAAACAGAAATAATACCCTCCCAGTTTAAAAAGCCATAGGTTGCTTAATTAGCCAAAGACCAGAGAGAAGAAGAATACTTTTGCCTGGCACCTAAAAATACGTAACTAAGGTACCAGGCAAGCCTCCCTGGGGAGAGCATTCCACAAATGGGAAACCCTTGCAAGAAGGGGAGATTGGCAATTGGCTAGTAATTAGATTTTGAGGACTGCTTTTACCACTGCCTCCTTCAAGCAGGCAAGGGCCCCCTGTCTCACCAGGAAGCATTAATAATCTCCTTGGCCTAGTCAGCTGTCTCCTCCCTACTAGTTTTTATCAGCCAAGAGACTGACTGATCCCAAGCACCTTATCCATCCTTACTGAAACTCATCCAACATAACCAAACTAGACAGTGCTCTGGCGGACACCTCTTGAGATTCACCTGTTGTAACATTGGAGTCAAGGTCCAGGCGGATGCAAGTGATTTTATCCTTAAAATGCTTTGCAAACAAGTGACAGTGAGCTACCATCTGTTCTACCACCTCCTTCGGACCAGACTGTAAAAGGCCCCATACTATCTGGAAAAGCTCTGGTGGACGGCATAGTTTGCTGCCTTCACTGCAACTAAGTAGGTCTGATTATGAGTCCACATTCGCATTCAACTGGAGTTTTCCTCCATTTGTGTTCAAGCTGTCTTCCAGCTTGTCTCATTGCCTGAAGCTCTGGAGTATACTAAGGAGCCAAAGCAGGAGAAGTTGCTCAGGAGTGATCATGTCAACAGCCCGAGCCATTTGAATGTACCAGAGTTCAGCCAGCACTTTGACAGAAGTGCAAATAATAGCAGCCAGAAAATTCCCCAGAGCTGTTTGGAAACCCATTGGATCCACCAGCCTCTGAAGGGTGGGCCATCCTATTAGGCCTATGCAGAAGGGAAAAGGTGCTGGAAGCCTAAATCTCAACAGGAAGTGATGTGACCATGACAAGGGATTGTGATATCAATAGCACCCTCTTTCTGCCCAGCAGAGAATACAAGGTCCAGAGTGTTGCCTGCTACATGCAGTGGCCAATGGCATGTTGGGACAGCCCCATGGTCATCATGGCAGCCACCCCAGAGCCGGTTACCTTGGCATGGATGTTGAAGTCCTCCATAACTAGCAGTCTGGGAGTCCTCAACATTGCCTCTGAGACCAGTTCTGTCAGTTCAGGCAGGGAGACTGCTAGGCAGCAAGGTAGGTGGCGTTATTGAATACTGCTTGACAGGTGTATCAAAGCACTGTATTGTTAGGGAAAGGATTTGAAGAATGGTAGCTTAGAACAGTGTTTCCCAACCTTGGGCCTCCAGCTGTTTTTGAACTACAATTCCCATCATCCCTGACCACTGGTCTTGCTAGCTAGGGATGATGGGAGTTGTAGTCCAAAAACAGCTGGAGGCCCAAGGTTGGGAAACACTGGCTTAGAACTCTATGCTGCAGAGCACAATTGGCTCCACATCATGCAAAGGTTTACTGCAGTGTTCTTAAATACGTTATGGGCATGCCATTACTAGCTGAGGGCACATCAGAAGCGGAAACAATTACTATAGTAAACCAAATCTGGATGTATATTAAGCACATTCATCTTGAATGTAAAGCCCAAGTACAGATATTGGTGTTAATAATGAATGTTGACCAAGTGCCCTCAGCTGCTTATTAGAAGTCAACTCTCCTGACATCTGTTGATAAAATTAGTTCAATGCCATTATTTCCTCTTCTGTACCAAAATGAGTATTTACATTAGCGCAGACATATTGCATGGCAGTTGTGCAGTTCTGAGAGGCTGCGTCAGTGCATCAAATGATGCTACACTTGCCACATGTGCTTATATGCATGCAAATATAAATGCAAAAGTTTCCCAGTGCAATCTTGTTCTGATGACTTGTTTGTGGAATGAGTACCAAAAGCAGGGCCAGCCTACTCACGGAGAATCGTTTTTATGGGAAAGAGAAATAGCCAGACCAGGCATTGCCGTTTCTTTGTCCATTACTGTTACTATTATTGTACACATTTGTACACCACTTTATGGCATAAAACCATTGAAGCAACGTACAGGGTAAAATACAGGAAAAAATACAGAAGCACAATCAAACCAATTTAACAAACTCTTAAAAAGAACATTTCATGAAAACGGAGAATTGATCTTTCATAAATAACTGGGTGACACCTCAAGGAAAGCTTTCCTAAACAAAACATGTATTCAGTAGGTGCCTAAATATCGTAATGCTACATGCCTGTCTGATTGTGGCTGAAAAATGAATCCAGAGGGTTGGGGCTAAAAGCCCAGTGCAGACTAATTGTCTGTGTCAGACATATGGTATTCTCAGCAGTATCCTGTCTGAGGAGCACAGTTGCTGGGCGGGAGTCTCATGGGCAAGACGATGCCTTAAATATTCTCATCTCAAGTTTAGGGAACTAAATATTAAAAACAAGACCTTGAATTGTGCCTGGTAGCATTTTGGCAGCTAGTGCAGCTCCTTCAGCAGAGGATCTGAGATGTTGATGGGGTACCCCAGTCTAGCTGCTGCATTCTGCACCAGCTGCAGCTTCCAGGTTTAGTCCAAGTGAAGCCCCACGTAGAACACATAGCAATAATCCAGTCTTGAGGTTACCAGTGCCAAGGTGAATTCCTTAGAGTATGTGGTCTTTAAAGTGGAAGGAAATGAACTTATACATACACATTAAAGTGGGTTGCCAACAGAGGAACAACAGAACCCCAGTTAAAATTAAGTTCCTAGTGGGTTTACTCTTTAGGAGATGCTATAAAGTGGGAAGGAATCTTATACTGCAAAGTTCTGGAGAAAGGAATGCAGCTTATATCCGTCTTAGGGTCCTGTTTGCTATGATTGATATCAGCTGCTACATAGTAGTGCAGCCAAACCCTTGGATAAATGTAATGGAATCCCGACATTTTAGATTCCAGTGGTGCCAAGAATGACAAAATAACAGTATATGTCATAAGTAACCGTTTCAACCTCATCTTGACCATTATATAATGCCAAATCCTGGAAAAGCAGTATTAAACTCTTGAGGACTCTTAAAGGGATGTGCTAAGTAGTTAAAATTAATGTTGCTACCTAAAATTGAGCTACTAGGGTCATGCAGAAGAAGACTTGTAATTGCTGGGTAGGGAATGCACTAAAATGTCCTGATCTGGATTAATCATTAATCTTCTTTTCCTACATTCCAAGAATGGTTTACTCTAGACAATGGTCACTTAGCTGTGCAGCTCTGCTTTGTAAGATTTTCTGGGTCACTCTCTCCATAAAGACTAAGCTGAACTTGGGTTCAAGCTATCTGAAAAAGCTAATAGAATAGCAATGATTTATAGAAAGATTCTTTTATTTGTACACTTAAAGGAGTTGGCTGCTGTTGTTTTTCACTGTTTATCCAAAATCATTAGGAGTTGGGCCAGGTTCACAATGTGATCCAACCCAACACACACACACACACACACACACACACACAGAACTGTGTATCAGAGCAACCTTGTCTGCAAGGCAGCAGCTCCAGTATTTCAGCTACACAATATATGTTCTTGAAGCATCAGCGTCAATGGAAGTGGTTGCAGTTGCTATTTCATCTGTGAACTTCTGTCTTACATTGTCTGGGTTGTCCAAAGGGCTATTTGTTGATGGGTGACTCAGCAAAAAGAGCTGTTAGATAAGGATGTGTGGATAGGTATCATTATTTTCTGGTGACTGGAATACAGTGCCCCTTCAAGCTTTACTGAGAGGTTAATTTGAGAAAAGGCAATTTAACCAGTTAGTTGTTAAAGTTGTGAAGGACACAATGGTGTCATTAACATGATTAAATAAAATAAGATTTGTAATAGAGGATAAATGATATTATAACAGACCTCACAATCAGCTTCAAAATCTAGTAGTTGTACCTTGGATCCCAAATGCCTTGCAACTTGGAACATTTTGGCTTCCGAACGCCGCAAACCCGGAAGTGAGTGCACTGGTTTGTGAACGTTCTTTGCGTTGAACCTGGATGTCCGACGCAGCTTATGTGGCTTCCAATTGAAGCCGCGCCTTGGTTGTCGAACGTTTTCAGAAGTTGAATAGACTTCCAGAACAGATTCCGTTTGACAACCAAGGTACGACTGTAGTGGAGTGAAACTGAAAAACTTTCCATTCCAAAAAATAAGGCCTATGGAAGACAGGCAAACAAGATTGCCTTATCAGTGGCTCAGAGGGAGTTTAGCTTCATTGAGTATCAATAGTTTGAGGTCAGGATACCTTGGGGGCAATTGCTGCTTCCAATGTGGACTTCACTTGACTTAGACTCTTCTAGTTGTCTCTCTCACCCAGTAGACAAATGTTCAGTGGGACAGATGTTCTCTCTGCCCCACATCACCCCCGCTAAGCAAGCAGAAACTGTGTTTCAACAGGCATATTAAAAGATATTTAAAAGAACCTTTTATTAGTTTTTCCTTGTTTGTTCTTGGCCTGCATGTTAAATTGGAAAACAAAGGTCACCTTTTCGCCACATAGAGATGTTCCATTTACCAATTTTAAAAGTTTGGATACACCTTTCTAAGCAAATACCCACTCCAGGCAACTTACAATATTTTAAAATATTTGTTTTCCTTTTTACACTTTCTTGCTATGTGCTAACCCCCACTGGAGGATAGAAACTGGCTTTGTGTTTTTGAGGCATTTCTCTCAAAACTAATTTGTGTCCTTGGTCAGTAGAGTTTAATAACATTCCTTGCTCCTTTCCACCCCAAAATATATTTTCTTTTGAGCCTTCAGGATCTGCTCATGGTTCCAGCTTGCATCCTTCTCTTTTCTATGGAAGAGGGAGCTGTGGAGAGTTTAATGATGTTGGATTAGGGAGCCTGCACCAGAGACATTTAGGAGAATGAGCCATTTGCTATTGTCCCTTGCACCCCTCCAGTGGGGTATGGTGCTGCACATGTTCACTTCCTCTGCTGATTGGAAAATAGGTGTGTGTGAGAGAGAACATGCACTGGGGCATGCTGTTTCTGGTTCCAGTTGTGTGAATGAGGGTGAGGTTACTCCCCTGCTTTCTGAGCATGATGGAGTTGTCTGGAACAATTGCTGCACTCCAGTGGATACTCCCAACTCTGCTTTCATCACATTGCTGTAATCATTCTCTTACACGGAATATCTATGGAATGCTCTTACGATGTTGTAAGAAATCTATGCATGACAAATGATTTGTTCCCTTAAACCTAGTATGAAGGCTTTACTGTTTAAGAAATGTATGAAAACTTACCTCAGCCTGCAGTTACTCCAGGCTGTAACTCCCAACTCTCTCCCCCGCCTTCCCCCCAGCAGCAAGATATCTATGACAAAAGTGTCTCTCACTAAATGTAAACAAATTGTGAAAAAGACTTAGGAATTGAAAATGGAGACGATAGACGTACCCTTCCCTGTTCATTTGTTTTGTAACACACACAAAAATCCTTAATAAAACGTAAAACTAAAACTGATGGAGTGGAAGTTGGAGGGGAAAATTAAGATTGTTCTAGAAAAGTTATTGTTATTTTCTCCAAATGTTAGCAAAGCTCCTGCTGTGGAAACACAACCTTTACCTTGTTGCTAATTGCTAGCATCTCTTTTGCAGACTCAAAATGCCAAACTGGGGAGGTGGCAACAAGTGTGGGGCCTGTGGCAGAACAGTGTACCATGCAGAAGAAGTACAATGTGATGGGAGAAGCTTCCACAGATGCTGCTTTCTTTGTAGTAAGTACTCTTTTCAGTTGAAACAGTGAATGGGCAGTGCAAGTCGTGAGTAACAGGACCATAATTTTTGCTATTCAGCTCCAAAGACAGACATCTTATGGCCTCAAGGAGCAAAGAGTATAAAATACCAAGCACTATCTATGTTGCCTTAAGCAATCTTGAGTTCCTTTCTTCCCAGGATGACTCGAGAGGACTGTATCTTCAGCTGAGGAATGCAGTAGTCTTTGTCAGGAGAGCATTTTCAGACACTGCATGACCACCACAGGAAGTGGACCTACTTGCATGTCTCGTATAACCGAGCACATGAACAATAAGAAGCTGCTCTAGCTGTTCTTTGGAAGAGAAGTGGACCAGCTCTGTCTAGTACTGAGAGTATTAAAAGGACTGGAATTAGCGGGATTCAAGACTGAGCTATATCACCATCTTTGCAAATGAAAGGCTTAGGTCAGTGGTCGGCAGGTTATGGTCCTCCAGATGTGTGGGGGCTGCAACTTCTATTGGCCTCAGCAAGCATGGTCAATGGAGTTGTAGTCTCAGAACATCTGCAGGGCCCCAGGTTCCCCATGCCTGGTTTAGGTTTTCACTTTGCTACACGTTGGTCACTTCAAATCAAAGCCACCATTTCAGTTGGCTCTGAGCTGCATTTATATTCTAAGATTAAGCATGTTAACAAAATACCAAGTTTAATCCATAAAAATGCCTGTTTCACACTGTAAGTTGTTCCAGCAGTTTACATTTTAAAGATCATTTTGTGAGAATTCATTAGTTGGCTCTCTTCCTCATCCATACCAAATAAGTTAATTGAATGATCTGGTTGATTTTCTATTTCAGCACAGTGGAGCCAAAATTCTGTTGGGCTTTGGCACAGGAGGCTGTTGATTGTCTTAAATGAGCAGAGTCTATGCGATTAAGTTTCAGGCCAACAGCTTATTGAAGAACTGCATTTTTGTACTAAAAAGCACGTCCATTAGATACCAAGCAAAGGATTGCATCAAATAACTGCTTTGTGATGCAGCTGCCACAAAGAAGAGCAATTTTGTTGTGACATTAAATGTGGATTGTAGTTTACCCAAGCTCATGTCATGAAATTAGTAAGAGCAACAAGTAATTTGGGTGGGGGAGGCAGGGCCTGGAATTTTCAGTAGCTGCACTTCAGGAAAAGCAGGGCAGTTGATAACAGCTGTCAAACCTCATGGTAGCAAGAAAGTCAATGAGCTAAGCAGCAAGGCTGGGAAGGTAACAGAATAAGCTCAAACTATTTGCAGTTTAGGTTCAGGATTGCTTCTTCCTGTTTAGGCTTAGACATGGAAAATACGAAGGAATAAGTTTCTGAGGATGCATAAAGAACTCAGCTGTGAAGGAATTGGTTATCTCATTTGGCATCTACAAATCTGGGATTAAAGGCGAGAGCCCTCCTAGCCAGAAGGCATGACTTTTCCTGACAACATTTTTCATGAAACTAAACAGTGTCTTGTGAGATAATAATGGAACACATTGTACACTACACAATTCGAATACAGGGGTCAAAACCCAAAGTGTGGCACTGCTCTGCTTCAAAAGGAAGCAAAAACGCACACAATAGAATCTAGTTCTGCAATGCAGCTTGACTCACATGTGATGTGGAATAGTAATGGGCAGACGAGACATGAGCAGAAATGCATTTCTATCTTCGTAACCTTTGCAATGCCAGTTAAAAGGTGGGTACTGTATTTTCATTGGGTGTGAGGAATGGCTAGTGCTGGTATCAATCCTCTGTGCTGTGATCTTGACTGCTACTCCCCTGTGGCCGCAATGTGCAAAAAATTAGAGTGGAGATGCATTTGTGCACCTATTGTTATGTCACATTTTGTCCTGATACAGACCGTTAAATGCAAGAGCTCTTGCAGTCTTATGGATCAATATATATATTTTTCTTACTAGGTGAGTTCTGAACTGCCTGTTTCTGGTGATATGCAAAAATAATACTGAATTTTGAAGTCGTAGTGGTGTTAACTAAAGCATGTTGCCCTGAAGTAAACTTCTTGAATGTGAATGGTGGAGAGCACATGGACTCTGTTGTGCTGAGTGCTCGTATAGAACTGCCCATATTTTCTCATTAACAGAGAAATTCTGGCCTCATTCCCAGGAAACAGAACAAGCAACTTAAAACTGTAAAAGCAGAAATAGGTTACTAATGGTATTTCAGGACATGGATTTAAGTTGGGTCAGTATTCCCAGTAAGTCTCTCAAATGGAGTACCCATAGAAGGTGCACTAATTATTTTTTCTAGTGCCTCTAGTTATGGATACTTTGTAAAGTAAAAGTGCAAACTGTTGCATAATTAAACATGTTGTGTGGTTTTAAAAAAGCAGGAGGGAAAATTGCTGACCTCAGTTCCTGGCTGCTTTTGCAGCCTTGTTAATTAAACTGCATCAAGCTTCCATTCTGTAAATGTCACAATTAAGAATGGAAAGGAGGGACAAGTCCCTCAGTAGAGCAAAATATAATCCAGCAATTCAAAAACATTCCCCTCTTTTCATTTTCCAGTAGTCCGCTAAGGTTTAAGAACTACCAGAGGCACTTTCCCCCTCTGGCACTTAATGTTCCTTTCTGTTAATAAATAGGCATCCGTTTCTTGAAGAAGCAAATTCTTTTTCTTTCTTTTCCAGTGGTCTGCCGGAAAAACTTAGACAGCACAACAGTAGCCATCCATGACGAAGAGGTCTACTGCAAATCATGCTATGGAAAGAAGTATGGTCCAAAAGGCTATGGCTATGGCCAAGGAGCAGGCACTCTTAATATGGACAGAGGGGAGAGGCTGGGCATCAAGCATGACAAGTAAGTATAACTTGCATTCTACTTGAGCTACTTGTAACTGCAGCTGGCAGTGTGACCCTACACGAAACAGCCTGCAGCCATGCTTTTGTCATGTCTGTATTGTGTATTGTCCCTAAGCAATGGTGGAATGGTAAAGTTCACTCTGATTATATAACTAAGCCTTCGTTATTAGCAGCTGTCCAGGGAACAAACATCTCTGGAAATGAGTCAACCCTGGATTTCTCTCTGTGTGTAATAGTGATTCAGTTTTCTCAGAAAGCTGTTTATTATGGAAGTAACGCAGCTAGGCTCTGTTGGCAAGTGTTTTATAATTAAGGGTCCACCTCTTAAATCATGTTATGTTACTTTAGAATCTCATGAATATCCAGCCTAATATATATGATGGGGCAAACTAATGCCTAATTCACATGTGACACCAAACCATGGTTTGGGCACAATGAGAATTGTGCTTGCGTGCACTCCCTCTTCTCTTTATGCACTCGGCTTCAGTTGCTTCCTCTTGAATCAAAACCAGTGCACATTGGCTTGTGCAGCAGTTGTGGCTTCAGTAAGCCAGGAGCATTGGGGGCGGGTAGTAATTGCGAGCAAGGCTTGGTATTTCATTTGAACAGTCTCGACATGTTGGATGCTGAGCAGTTCCTTCTGTTCAGATGAAGGCTTCAAAGCCTTGATATTATGCCTCAGATGAATTTATAGTTCTCAAGGCTATAGAGCGCCTTCACTGTAAAATGAAAAGCCATGATGTAGTCCACCACAACCTCATTGATTGTAGTAGGATTTTCAGGGCCCTCTAAATGGATAAGAATACTTGGCTGGTGAGGGCACCTCCCTAAATGACAGGGGATATGTTTTAAAGACAAACAAGCCACAAGGCCAAAAGAAACTCAGATCTGTAGAAGGGCTGCATTTTAAAGAATACAAGGGAATACTGTGGCAGCCTTTATCATAGCCAGAACTTCAGGCACAAATGAGGCTGTATTGATGTGGGCTTTTGATAAAAGTTGTTTTTATAAATTCCAGTGAACTTTAGAGCAAAAATCCTGATGTGAAGCAGTCTTAAATAAGTACATTTTTAGCAGCGCATATTTGTAAACCTAGAGATTGTTCAAACTAAGGGATAATTTGCGAACATGGCTGTCTTTAAAAACCTCTTTCATATTACAGGTGCGAATTGAGGGAAAATCATTATAACAGCATTGTGAGAGTTCAGTGAGCCAGCATATAGAAGTATAACTATGGGCTAGTATGCATCTAAACCAGGTTATTGGTTTGTGGGGTTTCCCCCCTGTTGTTTTTATTATGTATTTTGTATTTTTATGTTGTGAACCGTCCTTTGATCTATGGATGAAGGGCAGGACACAAATTTAATAATAATAAATAATGGATTCCGCTGAAATAGGATATTCACGCTAGGGCACCTTTATTTTAGTGCACCTTCTCACCGACCTACAACAAGTCCAAATACTTCAAAGTTTGCCCAAAAATTTGGAGGAGCAGAGAAATGTTCCAGGTGTGGTGATTCTGTGTATGCAGCCGAGAAAGTAATAGGAGCTGGAAAGGTAAGGTGGCATATTGTTGCAAATACCTTGCCAAGCAACACTAACATTTTTCAGATTCATTAATTGTAAATAAAATCTTGACTTGTTAAGAGTGGGGTAGCTTGCTCTCTTACAAGAGGTGAGCGAGTAGATCTCTTTGAGGAGGAAGAGATTTGCAGTCTTGAGACAGTGGCCAGCTGAATCCAGTTTCTCAAACATTTGTACTTAAGTGCTTTTTACTAATAGATCAAGCTCATATGAATAGCAAGATAACTCTAAGAAGACAACTTTTTTTGAAAATAAAGATTTGAAATTTTTTTTAATGGTGCAATACAGAAGCCTAAAATAAATGTGCTCTCTTTCTATCTAGCCTTGGCACAAAAACTGCTTTCGCTGTGCCAAGTGTGGGAAAAGTCTTGAATCAACAACTCTGACAGAGAAGGACGGTGAAATCTATTGCAAAGGTAAGAGGTTAAGGCAAAGGGCATAAAAATTGCTTGTTCCGGTGAAGAGTCGTATGGTTTGATTCCAGGAAGGGGTCGTCAACAGGTCAAAGGAATCTATTCTGCAACTGTTCTTTAAGTGGATAAATATTTTCTCAATTTAAGTGATAGTTGGAGAATAATGGTATCAGGTTTTCAACTAAGGAAGTAATCTTAAATCATTGCTGTGGATGGTGTAGGGACAACTATTTTATACCAGCCAAAAGGATTTGTATAGCAGTTTCCTTCTTTCAGAAGTGACAGCTCTATAGGTATAAGGAATAGTTTTGCCCTGGAAAACAATAGAAACTCATTTAAAAAAATGTTCTGTAAATCTGCTTGAGTACCTGATTTTATTATTTCACCAAAACAACTGCTAGAATTGAACTGATAGTCTACTATTTATCCTTGCAGGTTGTTATGCGAAGAACTTTGGCCCCAAAGGATTTGGCTACGGGCAGGGAGCTGGTGCTCTGGTTCACGCTCAATGATTCGTTAGTGCCATTGCACTGAAATGGTTCTGTAGTTACAACTTAAATGCCACTAATTACTGTGAAACTGATAACTAGTGTCCTATGCCGTTGCTTGTCTTAAAGTATTGCATTTTCTCAAGCCTTAAAAGCACACTTTTTACATGCACTGTCAATTGGGTTCAGTAAATCTTTTTGCTTAGAAGATTAGTGTGTCAAAAGGCCACCTGGAGAAAATTGTTCTGTTTCTACTGCCTACAGATCTGCATCTATATATTGCTTTGCCTGCAACATTTGAAGCATGGTATGAGTTGCTTGCTGCCTAAACAAGCACTTCATCAGGTAATGGGAAGACTGGGAGTAAAAAACATGTTAATCCATTATAGCCAAGTCATTGTAGATTTGCAGTAGCCCTGCTCAGGCATTAACCTTCCCAATTATGCTCATTGGTCTTGCCTACTCCACGTTGGAGAAGTAACTTCTAAAGCAGGAACCCGCTCTACTCATGGAGTCTATGATTTAGAATCCTGGTGTTACTCCACTAAGTATGGCAGGTTCCCTTCTAGGGAATGATGGGATAATGGCAGAGTTAAGGCCAATAAGCTGACAACCACCCATCCCTTGCTCTGCCCCTTTTGCAGATTTATAGGGGATGAACACCTGAACAGGGCTAGTGCAAATGGCCATCATAGCACTATGCTAATTGCCCATCTCAGTAGTTTCCCAGACAACAGATGTGAGGTACCTTGATGTCAGAAAGGCAGTAACTTCTAAAAATGCAACTGAGGTATCTTCTGCAGTAGATCTCTGCTCTGGCTATTCTTAATTCATGGTATCCTAAAGAGAGACTTGCGGGGGGGGGGGAACCTTGGCTTGACTCACAAGGAAGTTCCCTTCCCTACTCCCATTTCAGCTGCACATGCTGTTTGGGAAGAGGTTGGATGGAGCACAGGGGGAACTCTATGAACAAGTTTACTATAAGATCCAAGTCTATGATATATACTGCAGTTATGAGAACATTAAGAGTCTGGAGTAACTTCTAGAAACCCTCAAATCTTGTTATTACTCTTTGAATACTGATGTTCTGAATTGCTTGTAGAGTTAGCCCTACAACCATTGCTGCTCTATCCATAATTGGCCAGGGTTATGACATTTTGGAATATACATAGTAACAAAAATGTCATTTGTGATTCAGACTTCTGCAAAGGGACCAGTACTTCCAACCAATTACTAGGGTATCTTCAAGATTGTGGATGAGGCAGTTCACCAAGGCACTAATTTCTGGGGACGGGGGAAGAAGCAGACAGGACAGTAACTAGAAAGCGTAGGGAAACTAAGGTTTCACTTGTTAAACAGTTTATTCTTGTGTTATAGACAAAAACAATTTTTGTCAGATTTTATTCATTTGGTAACTTGTTCCCATATCCCTACTCCATAGAAGACTTCACTACAGAGATTTTAGACCTCTAAGTATATATGAACTATGGGCTTTGCTATTTTTGCAGTATGAACTGGGATAATGGACATCTTATTTCAAGCCAAGATGCTATTTTGCTTTTGTTAATCATGCGAGTTTGCTTGGTATGCTTATGTACATGTGGGTCATTTTGAAATTTTTGATGCAAGGACAAAAGTATGCATGTCTCAACAATAAATGGTTAGGCTGCCAAAGAAATGACTTCATATCTCCTTTCAACGTCATCTGTGTGCACAGCACAATTCTGAACAAGGATCCCCAAATCAGAGTACTAATTATTCTTTAACTCTGTGTTCTTACAACCATATAATTAACAAATCGAGGCCAAGGGCATATACAATAAGAGCAAGAAATGCTTATGCAATAGTAACACCAAGCTAGTCATTTTGGCCAAACTGCACCTACCTGACAAACTTAGAGATCTGCTGTTCCCAATCTAAGCACCACAGTAAGTGTTACTATTCTTTCATAGTAAAAAGCAGCTCTGTCACCCACCTCAGAAATTCTTTTGCCTCCCCAGCTTTCAGTTCAGGTTGGGGGTGCAAAAGAAGAGACATGGCTTTAACTTTGAATCACCTCTTCTCCCCGTGATATCAGGTGAGTGCAGTGCAGGGCCGGGCCTGGACCAGTTCTTGATTCAACTAGCTCATCCCTGCTGTAGAGCATGATTGAGAGCCAAGATCATACAGGAAGGTGTTAATAGCAAAGGCTGGGGAGGGGGAGGGAAAGTACAAAGTTGGTTTAAGAATAACTGTTTCTCGCAACATGTTAAATGTGTAGGTGTGTTGCATGAACGCTCCCCGCACTCCTCCAGAGGCTGGAAAACCGAAGGACTGTGTGGTGAAATGATGCATGTCTACAAAGTGTCACCAACATGCAAAGTTTAACTCCAATGCTGGGGAAAAAAATGCTCCGCTAGTCTACTTACTGAGGTAGCAATGGGCTCTTTGGAGTAACCTCCTAATTAGCAGAAAAGGAGCCGATCTCCTAAGAAGAGTAAGTTCCTGAGTGTTCTGAGCAGGAGAACAAGAAACTCTTGCTGAAGTAAAGACAAATGCTAGCATCTAGGAGACAAGTATTTATTTGATTAATAACTTACAAAAAATGACAATTTTAATTTATGTAAGGAGTGCTATTTTTATTAAACATTTTACAGATTTTGTTCACCATGTAATACATCAACATTTTGACAGTAGTAAAATAATGCTTGGCACAGTTATAAATAAGGTAAATTAAAAAAATATTCAGTTTTAAACAATGATGCTCTTATGCATATTACCTGTTAAAACAACTTAGGAGAGCATTGAGAAACTTAAAACCTGCAAAAAGAAAATAGCTTATCTAGGGCAGAAACAAATTTTTCATTTGCTTGTTCTGAATAGATCAATGAATATCTATCCAGTATATTTGGATCGCTTTCATGCAGCCCTCTAGAATGGTGTGGTCTGCTGCAATAAATAACAGAGTTCTTGGTAGAAAAAAATGCTGCATAGATACTGTCCCCCCCCAAAAAAAATCTGCCAGATTTCAGAAAAAAACCGTTCAATATTTCAGACTACTAGAATTATTCTAGCTGCCTCAGATGTAGAACCTTCTTCTGGGCAATTCTAACTCCATTATATTTTCTTTTTGCAGCATAGAGTTAAGCAAAATTTACACCCAAGTATTTTGGCTCAACTGAAGTAAGATTTATTTTCACTATCAAGGACACAATTATTTGTACAAGGAATCCATATGGTGCACATTACTGTAACTTGCAAAAGAAATAGAGATGTATGTTACACAGATTTTTCTGGAGCTATGAAATATATTTAGCAAATAGATTACGGAGGGCTTTCAACATCAAATGAGATTCTGCAGAGCTACACTTTCTCCAAAAGGGAGTCAACTCCATGTAATGTAAAATAAGAAATAGATGGCTCTGCTCAAACATCTTCAGCTTGAAACTAAAGTTTACAAGTAGTGTTGTAAGAATAATATATTCTTATTATAGTTCTAAGTTGTATCTGACAAAATGGCACAGGCCTCTTTTGCCATCCCTGCACCCAACTTCATTCTCTTTCCCTCAAAAATAGTGTGTCAAAGACAAGGCTGAATTTTTCCAGTATTAAACATTCAAGTACACTAATGTTGCACTTCTGTAAATCTTGATATCTGGTACTTGCAAACTATGCACACCTGGTGATCAAAGAAACGGCTAGAGGGAAAATGCCTACTTGAAAATACTGAACACCAACTATTTACAGTTTCACTGCTCCTCTTACTAAGGCAAGGGGCGGGAATACCACTAGATTGCTTTAATACCTGTAATCTGCATATTACAGGAAATGCTAGTTTTGCCAAGCATCAAACATGCAGTGAAGTTGCAGGGTACAGTGCCTATTAACAGCAATATTGATCATTACTAACAAGCCCATTAGATATCTTCCTACATTTTTGGTTGGATAAAATGAAATGAGCAGCTTTTAAATATACTAACACACACACACGCACACACACTCACAAAGAGAAAACTATTTGATAAATTATGTATATACAGATAAACATTCTTTACACTGGTCTCAATCATCTGTATTAAGGTCCCCTCCCCAAATCCCCCTCACAGGATTCTCGAACCACTATGTTGCTACAGCACTTAAAAAGAGAACTTAACCGATTTTTCAAGTCTCTCTGTAAACAATAGTTAAGGAAGCAGTGAATAATTCACAAGGAATATATAAAAATGCTGTAACATAAAATCAGTGCATCACATTCAACAACATAAAACTCTTCTGGAATGCAACTTCATACCACTCCTTACCTTCCAAATATATCTGGTTCTGGTAACTTTGAGACAAACAAAAGTTAAGGGTGTTTTCCCACTTGCTATTACCATATTCTTCAAGAAGCCATGTAATGTTTTTTCCACTTAAATCTGCTACAAAGGAATTATAACTTTCTTTAGCTTGAATTCCATCATTTTATGTAAAGTAAAAGAGTTATTTGTTAATCAGTTTTTACTTCTCCAGCAGCCACATTCAATTTAACTGCAGTCATATCCTTCCCTGCTCCCCTATTACTGAGAGTTGGCCCTTTCACTCTTTGGTTCCACCTACATAACTTCGAACATCCTCCAATGACTGTAGACTACATCATGCAGAACTGTACCTACTACTTAGGTACCAGCATTTCACTGACTGCATATATTATACGTTTTTAGTTTTTGCAGATTATTATGCTATATTTTGTTTTGTGGTCTAATTTTCAAAAGTCGTATCATGCACCTAAGTAGGGCTTTATACTGGACGAGAGAGATGTAATTTTGTGCAACTTCACCCACCCTCCCCAAATATACATCTTCACACAAGGCTTATTACGAGTAATTCAATATATCGGAAACAAGACAGCTTTAACAGCCAACAGCTATTACATTTATGTAACAGTTTTGTGACTAACATCCTTCTGCGTCCTGCTGCCAACAACTTCACGCTTTATGGTGGATTCCCAATAAGACCACATGATTCTTCGGAGTACTGAATGCACATTTTCAATGCACATAATACTATAGCAAATCTGTACAAAAATTCCATTACAGGAAATATAATACATTGATCTCAAAGTCTGGCTGCTTTGTAAAATTTGACTTTAATTCCAATGAAATTGTTCAAATTATGAAATAAATATTTAATGTTCAGCACAGCATGACTTTAGTATGTTTGTATTTTAACAATCTCATGCTCCATTGTGAAAGCAGTTAAAAGGAAAGAAAATGGCGTGAATATGTCTTTGTGAATCATTCCCACGGTAAGGACAGTTAAAATCCCTTTCTCATCTTCCTCCTCATTGTCAGGATTGGCAGTTTATTCTGTCCTTTGATTACATCTGTTAATAAAACTGATGTAGAGAAGGTACCATTAGATTCACTGTTAGCTCTATTCATAGCATGCTACTGTTCAAGGGATGTGGATTTGAGAGAAACAAATTTTCAGGCACCACTCAGATACGATATGCTCACAGGTTTGGAGGTGGGTGTTACACTAGCTGGTAGCCACTTCCAGTTGTTTGGTCATATTCTATTGTATACTGCCTTGTCCAGTCCACAATAACAGGACGAAAAAGACCGCAGCATCTGAATTCAAAGAAGTCTATAATGTTTCTTATGCATCCATGGCTAAAAAATACAAACAAAAATGGTTACATAAATATTATGTTAGTCCAGCAAGTGCAACGATGTTAATAGTTAACATTAAGGAGGACTTCCCCACCCCCATACATATAACTGTGCTTGCTGATACTTACAGAAACATTCACTGCTACCGAGGAGTGAAACGCGTCAGCTATCAACCAAGAAGCCACACAGGGTTCTAAACGCTCAATAGGAAGTTTTAGGCAAGCTATGATTTCTTGGCTTCAGTTTATCTTCCCCCTTTATAATGGGGAAAATACTTCTGACCTATTGTATTGGGTCTGGGGAAGGAATGATTACATAGAACACGTGAGCAATTACAAATACCCAGTTTAATTGGCTAGAACTGAGTGAATTCATGGTTCTGGTGGAACACAATTCACGTATCTAATGTGGTTGCACAGTCTGGCCACTTCCACAAGTGAGGGTATGATCACTATTTCATCAGATATTCTACAAGTCTCTGGATGCTGCTTTCAACAGCTCTGGATATGGTCATGTTTCCCCCTAAAACAGCTTTCCAAACTTTTTATGTTGGTGACATACTTTTTAGACATGCATTATTTTGCGGCACAGTAATTTAGTTTTATTAGCAAACTGGAGGTTAAACTAACCCATTTCCCCAGGAGGAGCGCAGGGAGTGTTTGCATGGCACACCTATACACTGCAGCTGACACACTAATGTGTCGCGACACACGGTTTGGAAAGCTCTGCCCTAAAAGTTCAGGTCTGTGGTTTGTGGGTTCTCATGGATAAATATCGCCAGAGACAAAAGTGGTCTCAATGGCTTGAGTGCCTTTATGGCTTTGTCTAATGGCCTACTCCTTATGGATAATCCAGCTTCAGTGGCTTCATCCTTGGTAACCTCATTTAGACAACTACTGGAAAACTGTTATATGTAGGGCTGCCTTTGAAGACAGTCCAGAAACTGCAGCCTGTGCAACCAGACTGCTGATTAGACTTTTACTTTTTGATGTTATTAGATTGCTGCTGTTTGATCATACTATTGGTGCCCTTAATTCCAAAGGAAGAAAGATACACAAGAGGAAGAATAAGGCAGGCTGAACGGGATAAAGAGGTTTGGGGAAAGAAGAAAATGTAGGATTCTTTGTCAGTTATTAATGGGATTGTAGAGAAGAGAAAACGGGACCAAATTAGGGAAAGAGAAAGCAGATGTCTGTGTACTCTAATTTTTTTCTAAGGAATAATCTTTCATTTATGATCATGTTTATTTTGAATGTTACTAGGTAGCTAGGATTTTTTGTGCATGTCAGTACTAATGGCGTAATTACTTGCAAGAGAATCCAAGTATGTGAACAATATGAAATGGTAAATATTTGCATATGCATGAGGGAGAGAGAAAATGAACTGTATGCTTTTTAGTTTTAGGATTTTGTTTTGTTTTGAATTTGAGGGTGTTTCTGCTCATGTTCCAGTTATTTGTTTAAGGAAGTTGTAGTTCACATTTCAATTTGTATAAAATTTCCAGAGCAGGTAAACTATACAACAAAAAATACTTCGATGACCTTCAAACAGTTTCCCCAATCAAGATGACAACCCTAACTCAGCTGCTTTCCTGGGAACATGTGGAAAGAGATTCACATTTCTGTGGCTACCTTTTAGGAAAGGGGGGAAACAACCCAGTACACCGAATCCGTTCACATGCGCTATTTAAGCTTTCCCTCACTTGTGAATACCACCCGCACGTTTGTATAAACACATTTCCATGTTTCTTTATCTATGTACTTACTTAAATGGGCTTTCGATAGATGTTGTTGTAACTTTAAAGTGCTTATATCGTCTTGCATTCATCCTTTCATTTGTAGTAATACCTAAACAAGAGATCTGGGAGAAATGGAGGAGGAGAAGTATTCAGAATCTTTGAAGATGTAGTACAGTGGTACCTCAGGTTACATACACTTCAGGTAACATACGCTTCAGGTTACAGACTCCGCTAACCCAGAAATAGTGCTTCAGGTTAAGAACTTTGCTTCAGGATAAGAACAGAAATCGTGGTCCGGCAGCGTGGCAGCAGCGGGAGGCCCCATTAGCTAAAGTGGTGCTTCAGGTAAAGAACAGTTTCAGGTTAAGTATGGACCTCCGGAACGAATTAAGTACTTAACCCGACGTACCACTGTATATGAACCCGCTAAAGTAGGCATGGGGAACTTCCAGCCCCTAAGTCTTATTAGGCCCGGAACAGGTCCCAATTTGGTCCACAAGGTGGTTCCACCATGTCCATCTGCCCACATCTGATATCATATATGCATCAGGTGTGGGGTAGGTAGAGATGTAGCTGCCAATGTACAATAGGGAGCCTTTAAGCACTTTCCCAACTGCTAATTAGCAAGGGAGACTTACTATCACCACCAATCGACTGTCTACTGGGATCAGCAGGCCTGCTGGGATAGATTGTGCTATGCCGCTTCCCATGGGGTACTCCACAGAACAGCAAACTGCCTGCTGAACTCGATAGTGCAGCGAATCCAAATGGCCTTGAAGTGAGAACCTATCAGCTGACAGGTAGTGACTTAAAGCCCACTGGAATAAGATGCACTATTAAAACCCCTATAGGGAAATCTATAGCATAGGCAATCCCTGCAGAAAGTGGAGGTTGAAGCCAGAACTGTTCTGCTGTAACTTCAAGACCACCTTTGACAGTTTAGTACAAAGATGAAACAAGTTATAGCTAAATGGAATACTTTTTCTGTATTGCATGCTAATGGAGTTTGCTGTTAATGCACAAAAAACCTCTTTGATACACTGGATCTTTGATACACTGGCTCTGAACCATGGTGAACTTAATAATAACTGAGTTAACAGGTTTAATGATTTATTTTCAAAAACAGTCAAGCAGTAACTTTGGGCCTGCTAAAGAGAAAGTTTACCATAAGATTAGTTTCTGTCATGTTAACATTTTCCTATTCCTACCCGACAAAACATTGTTAGTGTTATATTACTTTGCCTATTATTTTGAGACACTCACACAAATAGGCTGTGCTTGGATTATCATAGTATATCTTAATAATCCAAGATAAGAAAGAGTTTAGCTCCTCCATTTCTGCAAGTGATGGAACATGCCAGGACGTTTCAGTTAACAATAGTTTCTTTTTGTGTCTTAATTGCTGACCCTCATTACCTAAGCAAACCCTCACCCCCAAACACTAATGGCTACTCGGATCAATTTCTTTAGTGAGACTTTGCATGTTCTGAACTTGCCTGGGTAAAGTCTTTATTGACTGTGTAAAAACAGTCAATTGCGTTTCAGTGATGCAAATTCCTTGCCAGCAGAACAGCTGCATCCAATATGTACTTGACGCCAAGTCTTTTTTATTCTCCTGTGTGTTTCTGTCACTCATGATCATTTATGATAAAAGATACATGAAAACAGATTTGAAACTAGCCACTTATTTTTTTCAACGTTTTTGTATACCAAAGCCAACCAAGTTCCATAGTGCTGGCAATCAAACCTGGTGGCACCCAAAGGCTTGGGAAATAAGTGCATTTCAAGTTTGATGCTTTGCATTAAAGAGAGAAACGGCCAAGGGCTTCAGTATGCATTTAGGTCCTCACATATGCAATGGAATCAACCCCCGGATTCTCAGGAAGGTTTCTGTCAGCAGAATGAGGAGGTAAGCACTTTTCAGTGATTTCCCATCTCCTCTGCAGCCCTCCCTCAACCCCAAATCTGCTCTGGAGAAACTCCCATCCTTCTGAAGCAGATTTAGGAGGCTGGGTGCAAGGGGAAGGGTGGGGAAATTAAAGTTCTCTTGTCCCTATTCAACTGGCCTTACTGCTTTACTGTCAGTGAGCAACACCGTTGAATGCAACCCTGCTTGTTTGCATATTAAGTGCTTTCTCCTACCTGATACATCTGACACATTAGCAGCACAGCCACCCACATGAAGTGAAACACGCTATTCAAAAACATCCAGAACATCCAAGGTGAACAGGTGGCTATTTGTGTAATATATGTCCAAAATCCATCTGCTGTGTAAGTAGTGTGACAGTGGATTCCCCAGTCTGGAATTAAAAAATACGTATTATTGGATTAGAAAATGATATCATTGGATTAGAAAATGTTCCTGAACATGAGCCTGCAGAATACAGGGCATGTTGCATGGGGAACATTTCCAAAAACATTTTTTATGAGAAAAGAAAAACCCTACCAGGCAACAATCAAGGTATAGAACAACGTTCACACAGAACATTGCAGGCACAGTAGGACTTAAACTAGGCATTAAGAAAATGGTTCAGCAAACAATACTCACAAGAGATACATCCATAAATCATCCAGCAAATCATGAATAGTAAAAAGAATAGATAGCCCATGAAATAACGATGGTTGCCAGCTCCTGAGAAGAAAGAATGGAAGTAAATGTATTTGTTTTTAATGCCATTTTAACAAGAGACCAGAAAGGGTGCTTCTAGTAATACATAATATATAAAGCATAGCTTTCCCTGCCACAAGACTAGAAGAGTCTAGAAGAGTCTTATTTCAGCACGGCAATGCAGTTCATCACATGCTTTGCAAATAAAGCACAAGCTTCCCTGGGGAAAGAATTGGGAAGTATTCAAGAAGTAAATGAATAAGTGAGCATAAATATGCAATATGCAAATATACAATATAAAGCTGACCTTCAGCCCAGTAAGCTTTTCTCCTCCAAAATAAAACTATTTCATTTGTTTATGAATACTAATATTACCCTGAAATTTATATATTTATTTGAATATTTATAAACCAGAAACTCAAAAAAATTAAAGTGGTACACAATAAAACTATTAATGCATCATAAAATTGTAAAAGAAAAAAAGACCAACACTATATCAAATCAGTTCTCTAAAAATGCTCAGGCATTCTGATGAGATGAATCCAGCTGGAAGTGCTTCAAATGCAAAGCTTAAAGACTGTGTCTTAGCTTCACAGTCACTAAGATTTGTGACCATACTTGCTTCAAGATCACCTACCAAACATTCACATGAAAAATCTGCATTCCCACAAAAAACAACAACCCTGCTCTCTGCTGTATTCATTTGCTATACTGCTTTAGCTCCTAGTGACGAAGACTGTTGGAGGTCAAGAGGCTGGCTGAGCTTGCTTATGTTTCTAAACTATAGTATAAATTTTTTTTGGCATCTTCTTGGTCTGATAGCAGTGGTGAATACATGAATACTAAGAAACCATGCTATGCTAAATGCACACACTATTTCAGATTGAAAGCTAAATGCGATGGAAATTTTCTATTCCTTATCAGTACTTACCTACGCAGTTACCAACCCAGGGGCAGTGATGATCAAACTTGGCTATACATCGATTGCACACACCACAGTGTTTGGACCTCACCGGTTTCCGTATCTGTTCAACAGATTTTTATATGCATACAATGTAACCTGCTTTTCATATTATCAATCTTTAATATGAATTTTGAACACAATGTTGCTATTGTTGTTGCTTCTACTACTCATATGCATGTCATGATACCAAGAATTTAAGAATGTAACCACGTGGAGCCTGTAGTTCTAGCTTCACCTAGCAAAAACATACTTCCCTTACTTTAACTTTCCCCTAAATGGAAGCTTTGTATTTGTCACCAACACCCACTGGACAAGTCTTATATACTATACACAAGTCTTACAGCATTTGCAATCACCAATCTCAATTAAATTGAAACAAAAAAATTCTCCTTTCCATTGCAAAACAGAATTTCCCACCGTTCTGTTTACTGCTGAAACTCTGAATTAGAGATCAAAGAAACTGATGACGATACTGATGGAAAAGCTTGCAGAGTTTACAAAAGATTAAGTATTTTGGTGATTTTTATCGTCTGCCGTTAGATCAGTTACTTATGGGTGGATGCATAAATAATTTGTATTCCATACAGAAAAAACTGAGCATAACACTGCTGTAATGCTGTCGGTGAAAACATTTCATCAAAACAAATGTTAGCGCACAAAAGACATTTTATCTTGAGAATGACACCTACAACATTTAACATTTGCATTTTAAAAATAGTGTATCAAGTAATAAACAATTTGTCTGAAATACAAAGTACTCAGATCTGTAGTCAAGACTATCTTATCAATGTCCCAAAGTAAGAGAACACTTATGTTTCACCATATCTCAAGTTCTTAAAATATTTTCATACAGAGCAACAAGTTTTTAAATACCATTATAGTAGCAAATAATTTATGCAGCATGATATATGGTATTTAGTTTTAAAGGTTTTATATTAAAGAGTCCAGAGTTGCACGTATTTAGATTCTGGATAGGAATATAAATGTATCATAACAATCTCACAATTCCTGTATATTTTGAGAACATTGTTATATAAAGCTCATTCTGCTTTCTTCATTACAGATGTTTTAGATAAGGCAAAACTTTTACTGAAGTGACAGTTGATAATAACTAATGCTGATATTTACTTTATACACACCACAAACTGAACAACTAAATTTCCTACAAAAAAATCCAGTATAAGGTGTGTGTATCTAAAATGGCACTGTAAATTTAATCTGAAGTTGTTAATGGAAGTATTTTCATTTTTCTCTACACTCAGAGACCTATGCACTTGTTTGATTTAGTCACAATCTGAAGTAGTCCTGTTCTCTCTCCTATTTTTAGGATTCTAATCAAGGATTGTCATTAAGATACATAGGAACAACAATAACTTTAAGAATTACTAGGAACTCTTGTATTGCTCCTGCTAAATACTTTGGTAGTGGGAAGTCTTACCACAGCGAGTGGCAACACCTAGTGTACTAGAACATATATTTTTCTATTTGAAGGCCTGGAACAGCCTGCTGCCCAGATTTCTATACTGACTTAAGAGAGCCACTGTATTTTGATATAAAAACCTGTGGGTGTTTTAAGTTAAGCTTCTACCCAAATCCATCTGAACTTGTGTCAAGGACATCCCACTGGAATACGGAGTCCTAACTCGGTGGGACAGGGACTCCAGTAAGGAATTTTGATATCCTGCTTTCTTCTGGATCCATCACAACCACACTATGGACTTGCCTTTTCTTATTCCTAGGAAGCATGGCATTCATATGCCCAAATACTGGCTTAGTATTTTAGTTGGCAGAGGCTCACTTATACCCTGTATGAATATCTCAAGGTCAAAGAATACACTCATTTTCTAAAAAGACATGATGTTAAAATTGGTAATTTAATTACATGTAAGCAAAAAAGCATACTACCAAACAGGTACTGCAGAATATACTGAGGTCCAGACTTCCTGTCTCTGCAAGTTCCACTATTGTCTGCAGAAAAGGAAAAATAAGAATATTTAATCATTTAAGAACCATATTCATACATGCTTCATAAGTCGACTCTAGTCGACAAACTTATGTCATAAAACAATTTGTTAGCCTTTAAGGTGCCAGGAGATTCTTGGCTGTTTTTACTGCAAAAGCTACCCCACTGGAAATCCCAACTTCTATTAACACACTCCGATTAGTTTAACACCATCTCAAGCTTGGACAAAAATATCTTAATGCCATTTTATTCACATCAAAGAAATTCGGCACCATTAGAGCCTACATAAACACACATGTGTAATTGGTTCTGCCCCAATTGCCTCTAAGATACAAGGGGACTCTATCCAGCAGCAAGATCATTAGTTTCTGGCTGCTTCTCAAGATTGCACCAGCATTAGGGCAGTTGGGCTGCTCCAGTAACGGGCATATCCTTTCCAACCTCAAAAATGTATCCCCTTGCATTCAGTTTGAAGCCGTCACTACCACCCTATGTTCTGCTGCAGTGACATAAAGAGGATAGCTGGGATACATTAAAATCTCCCAATACACAGAACACTATATCAGGAAGGAGAGTCTACAGCCTAGTCTTTTTCTGGACATGCTGGTTTCCTTTCAAGGATGACATCTTCACCTTCATTTTCAACTGGTCCAAAAACAATCACACCATGTGATGAGTAATCTGTCTGGGCTTAACCTTCAAGGTGCCACAACTCCTTCCACAATTATTTCTTGGAAGTTAAGATGCATACTTGAGGGATTGTGTGTGTGTGTGTGTGTGTGTGTGTATAAGAGAGAGAGAGAATGTGTGTGTATCTACACACACACACACACACACACACACACACACACACACACACGTTTTAAACAAATACCAGAAATATCTGGATGACCTCAGCAGATTTCTCAGTAGCAAAGCATTCACTCTGCTTAGACTACAATTACCTCTGATGTTCTTAAATGGAACAACTTGGCAAAACAGAGACAGAAACAATTTTCAGCAACTCTCTGTCTCCTCTGCAGCCCCCTGTGCCCCTCTGCGGGAGGCTGGGTGGGGGACACTTTCCTGTAATTGCTTTGATTAGAAAACACTTTGAGTGTGTACACAGAAAATCTAAACAACATCTTCAACCATTAACAAGAATGGACTGTTTTGCTTTTTACCTTTTTCTTTTGTTCTTCTGTGGCTTTAATTATTCCTGGGTCTGATTTCCAAGATTTTCCAAAATTGTAGAAAAGTGCAACACTATTAGCAAGAAATGGAAGGTGGATGAACACAAAATTTAGATGTATTAAATGTTAAGGAATTTAAATATGTTTTCTTTCCTGTTAAAAGTAATTATTATTTGAAAATAATAGAATTCTGCAATACACTTTTTTGTTGCTAATGCATTTCACAGGGAATGTACTAGATGCATGTCAAGACATCTAATAATCCTTTTTTGTCATTATATGCTGTTCAAGTGTATCATCTTGTCTTAATTTGTTTGATAGCTCCAAAATTAACAGTGCAACATTATACATGTTCTCTCAAAAGTCTGAATTCAGTTGAGCTTATTTCCTAGTCAATGTGTTTAGGATTGCAGCTTTTGTATCTCTTTAAATTATTTTCTGACATAAAACATTCAAATAGTCAACCATTTTTAATATATTTTTTACTGTTTATGCCTATTAGTGGCCTGAAATTCCAGCTAAATCACAAAAAAACACTCTATAATAATAAAGAGATTATACAGGGAATGATGAATACAATAATAAACTCTTTTGGGGGGATGGATTACATTCATGTTAAAGATTCCTCCTCTTTTCCCCCTCTTAATAATTTACTGAAAAAAGGAACATGTACTTTACCTGGAAATGAAAGTGTTGGAATAAATTGCAGCCCCTTGGATTCCCCCCCCCCCCAGTATTTGAATTCCAGCTGCTTCACAATTTGAAGTTAACTTTGTTAATACCTAGGTATCTGTATTTGCTTCACATTAATTTGCACATAGTAAAAGCTAATTATATTTTAACAGATTTAAATATTTTCTACCATGAAATTACAAATGGCCCCAGTAGCACCTTTTCTGCTTCAGTGCCTTAGCACTTATACACTCCATTGCCAAGGGAATGGCAAGCTCTAAACACAAACACTTAAAACCTATTTAGCTAACATCACAAATTTCAATGGTAACCCATCAGTTTCAAGTACAAATATGACACACTGGAAAATATTTTTAGCATATGTAAAGGGGTTCCATAGCACTGAAATCAATGTGGGAAAGAGTTCCCTGAAGTTAGAAAGCCTGAAAACCACTGTGTTGCTGCAGATCATCAACAAAATACGGACATCAAGAAAACAATGAGCCTTAAACTTACAAGCCTGGTTTGCACATTAGTGCCAACGCACAGCATGTTGGTGCAACACAGCTGAAACTATGGGTGCTTCATTCCCTGCTTGTTCCTGCCATGCTGCTATGCGTTATGTCCGGATCCGGACTCATGATCTGTTTCTCTCAAACAAGCCATGAGCCGTTACCAAGGCTTGTTCCTGGCTTTACATTCATAGGTTGTTTGGACAGAAACAAACTGTAACAGACAAACAGGGCAGTCTTTAGCAGATGCGGTGCTGGGGTGCAAATTTCCGCCCAGCGCCCCAAATTACTACGGATAGTGGGGCGCACGCGCAGCTGCGCACTGCCAGCCATGGGGGGGGACTCTCCCCCATGCAGCTGTGGGACAGCATCCCCGCAGAGGCTTGGGAGGGAAGCTGCGCCCAGCCAACCATATGGTTGGCGGGGCACAACTTCCAGCCTAACCCTATGCGGGGATCGCTCTCCTCCCAAGGAGGCTTGGGAAGGAAGCTGCATGCCCGCCAGCCATTTGGTTGGTGGGGCGCAGCTGGCGGACGTGCAGGGAAAGGGGAGGCTGCTGGCAAAGCCACACAGCTCCCCCACTCACTGAGGCGCCCCTGAGAGGCCAGCACCCTGGTGTGATGCACCACTAAGCCCTATGGGAAAGACGGCTCTGCAGACAAAACACCAAGTCAAACCATGTGCTTGTTTCTCAGCAGTCTGATAAGAGGAAGGGGGAGCACACTGCATGTTCACATTAAACCATGCTTGATTTAATGTTATATGCAAAGAAAACCATGGTCACTTAAGCCCATTTAGCCAAGACATAAATTTCAATTAGACTTCATCACCTTTGTGTAGAAAAATGTCATTATAACAGGGCTTTTGAGTCTAAGTCTCATGCAGTTAAAGCCCCTAAAAGAATATGGTACAGTCGTACCTTAGAAGTCGAAATGAATCTGTTCCGGAAGTCCGTTCGACTTCCAAAACGTTTGGAAACCAAAGTGTGGCTTCTGATTGGCTGCAGGAAGCTCCTGCGGCCAACTGGAAGCCGCACAAGTCCTGTCACTTCCGGGTTTGCAGATTCGGGAGCCGAAATGTTCGAGAACTAAGCTGTTTGAAAACCAAGGTATGACAACATGTTTTAATAAGTACCAGCATTCATTTCAATTACTAAACCACATGTTTAGACCAGTAAAAAGAAGCTAGCAGAGAAAACTGTATTATGTTCTACTATGAAAAAGCTAGATGCCCTTAATTGTCCGTCTGGCATTAAACCTCTGAGAGAGAGATGCTTTCAAAACTGGACAGTATGTTCCTGTGACTAAGAAGCAAGAGATAGGTCCAAGCCAAAGGAAGAGATTAGATGGTTCCCCCCTACCCTTGTATGGTCACATTTGCCTGCTTTTAGTGCTCTACACAACATGCTAACAGAACTACCTCTGTGGTTGGGCCTCTGAGCTTATATAAGTGGGGAAAGTTAAGAAGACTTTGCTACATGAAATGCAGACATCTTGAAAAGCACTTGCTTTAACAGGAATAGAGGACCACATATCCTTTATCCTAATAATGGTGAGGAAAGTTTGTAAGAGTACTGAGGGGGATCGCATGGTATCAACCAACACCAATTTCTCTCTTTTATAGGTTGTCTTTCCTGCTGTTGTAGACTATTATTGAAGCTAACCAGATTCCCTCTTATGTAAGGTTTATAAAACAGTATCAAAGCCTGTTTTGATGCAAAGTTAGAAGGCAATCCTAGACAGCACAGAAATAACTAAACAGACCTCAAGAGTCCCAATTGGAATGCAGTGAGTAAATACAAAATATTACTTTTCATCATAATTCTAGTGACAAGTTAAAAGTCAATTCTAGATATTTAAATTAATCAATCTGGATGCCCTTTTATTTCTGATCAAAACATATTCCAGAAGCAGATTTATAAAAGGCTGCCACAGAGACATTTAGTCAGATATCACATTATTCTTCCTACAGAGAAGAAAGAAGGCACTGTTCTCTGATGCAATTGGTTTCATCAAACTGTAAGACATATGAGAATAAATTCTTACCCTGACCACAATTTTTCTACTTCATTCTATAAAACAGAGCACATGTCATATATTTTTTTCTAACAAGTTGCAGACAAGCTGACTGACAGCAGAACTTGAATGGCTAGAAGAACTAATAATTGAGGCTGGCAACATTAATCAGTTAAAGTAAACTGACATGTAGGATTTAGAGGGGACTGTTCTGGCAGCACCCACATCACAAATGTAGTATCTACTTGTACTCTGCTATAATGTCATTAAATGTTCATAAATATTAACTTCAGAAGGAGCCAGTAATCGGGATATGACAATCAGCACAGCTACTGAGAAAGCAAAGTCAACATGAGCAAGAAGGAAACACTTATGTAGAGCCAAAGAAAATGAAGAGATTGAAAGCAAGGGGGTAGAAGACTAGGACGAAATATTGCTAGGTTTAAGGACTTGTTCAAAAACATCTTATTTTAACTTATTTTGACACAAACCTGTGAGCTTGTGTTTTGAGTAATTTAACTAATGGGTATACACACACACAATTAACAATGTTGTCTGGGGATAATGGGAATCCAACAACAGATTCCCCATCCCTGCCTTATGTAATTAAGTCTGCCCCCTTCAATCTGTATGTCCTACTATCTGCTTTTACTGGTCCATCCCCCTTTTACTTACTGTCATGCTTCACTCCCTCCTGTGTTTGCTTGTCTCCTGCTTCAGCTTCACTGAAGTCCCTTAACCCTTTCCCATGACCAGTCTGAACCATAAAACTTCCACATCCTCTTGCTAAAACTTCCATTTCTTAAAATTCTAGCCTCTTAATTTTCTTGAATGTGAGCACTGGAATATAACCCACTAAAATTAAAAAAATTCAAATGCTGAGCACAATATAAAGGATATCATTCCAAAACCAGAAAAACCATGTCACATACATCCAGAATTTTGTTGCTAGGTAGATTCCAAGGGGCAGTGCACTATGCATTGAGTGATCAAAGAATGATCTGCGAAACAAAGAACATAATAGGTTATTACATATTCAAATATGGGTGTGCTAGCTCATTCACAAACAAGTAAATATAGCCTTATTTTTTAAAAAACAAAGAAACAAACACTAGAGCTTTAAATAACCTGTCCATTTGATACAAAAGGTCTTAATAATCTAAATTACTCAACAACCAGCAAGCACTTTTTTAGACCTCAGAAGTTGCAAGAGTTCATAATTACTAGGTTCAGAACATGTATCTGTTCAGTTTGTAATGTTTAAATGAAGATTTTACATATGCATGATCAGAGTTCAGGATGACCAGGCTGCTCTGTAAGCATGTTCACCAATGTTGTTAACCACTACATTAAATTATTAATTTAAACTATGTGACCGCCTGAACAGACAGATTTTTGTTTGTTTGTTTGTTTCTAATTTTTGCTTTTTAGGTCAATTTTCCCAATTCTTACTTGCATACATATTACATGTGCTGTCCCCTAACCAGGTCTAGAACAGTTTCATACTCCTGCTTGCATGTGTTTTGTCAAAGTAGATTTGGAAATAAAGTTTTCTTCTAAAGCCACATTTTGACAGCAGTTAAAAATAAGGCTGAACAGCACTCTCAGCAAAACTCAAAATGATAGTTATTTTAACAGACTTTGAAGAAAAAGCCAAACCCAGAACATGAGCTGTAGTAATATAATCTCTTATACTTACACAAGAGATTCCAGTGTTTAAAATATATATCTGACATGTGCTATATTACACTGACAATAAATAAATTTAAGATACTCAACCATGCAAACTTTCTTTGTTTAATAATGTTCTTACTACGAATGCATTTCTCTTTGCCATTAAAATTAGAGTCATTAAAATTAAGAGGCATATAGAGGCTATAATTGTGTTGCACAGGGTTTCTGCTCCAAAACCCTGTGCTTGTCAGTGGAGCCCATGTAAGTCAACCCCACCCCTTTTGTGATGTTTTTGGGCTACTTCCAGGTTCAGAGCCATGCACATATGCACAATCAAGTGTCATTCGAACATGCCTAAACTGGGCAAGGCCTGTAATAATTCTTGTCTTTTTTATCCACTCACTGAATACTAAGATCCCTTTTAAAAAAATCCAAAAATATCCTCCTTAAATAAGTCTACTTATTGCAGACCATTAAATTATGGAAATAAAAGAGTAGGGTATTTTCATTTCTATAGAAAATAAGCTAATCATTTTATAGAGGGATTTCAATATTTGGTTTGTGAAAGAGGAAACATTACTGTTGGGCAGGCAGACACATTTTCATACAACACAACTAGTTGATGATTCATAATGTGACTGATGTGGTATTTAAGGTTCTTTTTGCTCAGAGCTAAAATATGAATGCCACTTCAATCTAGCACAGTAGGTCTCCTATAAATTAACTGGAAGGCAGGATGGAAGGGCATCAAAACACAATTTTCTTTGCTTATCCTGAACAATCATTTAATGGAAGAGTGAATTAGGTAAAACATTTCCCCCCAAGAATGGGGCTTTTATACATCTGTCAGGATTTTATGTAAAACCAAACTATCTACTCCAACATATTCCCTAATTAAATACTTACTTGGAAAGAAATTGAACCATAGCCCAAACACCACCATACATTAGTCCTTTAATGAGCCAAGAATCAATATCAAGGTCGGCTATAAACCCAACTAGCCAAATAACTAGGAAAGGTGTTCCCAGCATCACTTTCTGACGAAATTCCTACATAAAAAGACAAACAACAATTAATTAACCTGGATATTTATGAACTGTATAAAAAGTTAGTGCTTCATTTTAACACTCAGATACTTCATAGCAAGTTTAATATGTACAAAGAGGGGTTTATCTGCAAGACTAGGAAGGATCCTAGATTCAGAAAAATGCAAGATGCCTAGGATTGGTCAATCATTTCTCACTGCAGTGAGAGGAGAATGGCAAATTTGGGGATGGGAAAGACACGTAAACCCAGACTCCTGATACCTCCTGGTACAAATTATAGTGGGGTGTCATCTAAGCAGGGTCAGAAATTATTTTAAAAAAACACATTACATGAATCATCACGTAAAGATTCTTCTCACCTTATCAGCCCTCAGCTTTCTGAGAAATGATGGATTGTCATATCCCTTTGCCTGCCTTGCCTCCTGTAGATTGTTTATCATCCAAACATTTTTTCTTTGCTTTGCTAAATCAAGTGGTGATTCACCCTGTCAAGAGTATGAAAGATTAACAATTTTAAAAAGGGGAAAAAGCACAACAATTTCACTTTTAGAAATAGTAACTTAAGCATTTAAAACTACTTAAGAGTTTTAAAACATGTAATATTACTATGTTGTTCTTATAAAGCATTATTTTGGTTGCTAATTTATTTTATGTTATGGAGAGTTACTTTCTTCCAATCTTTTCTCAGTTTAATCAGTTTCATCAAATGAAATAAAATCTTTGCTATTTCTGTGTATTGCAACGATGAGTTCATTCATTATCCTTAGTGTGCATATGTAATAATTAATGGGAGTTTAAAAGTTGCTTAGCTCTCTAGTTTGGAACAATTGGTTCTCCCTCAAATATTAACAAGCAGCAATATCCATTCATGGAATTTCACAAACAGTGAACAATGCTTATTACTTAGTTATCAATGCCATGTACATTCAGTTGATACAGATGTTCAATCTGTACCTCTTGTGGACTGCATGTGTAGGTGTGTATTCGACTGTTGTTTTGATGCACTTACATGCAGTGAAAAATCAAAATTATACTTGCTTACCCCTACTCCTACGAGATTTTCACATTTTGGATTTAACACTTTGATGGGTAGAGTTCCACACACCTAAGTTCTATCAGCATGTTCTATATATCTTTTACTGTGTACAGATTACACATCTGTAGGATTCTGTGTATGTAAGCCCTAAACCATGTGGTTGTTGGAAGCCTTTGATGGGGACCCAGAGCTAATCAGGATTACTCAAATGCAAAGAGAGAGTGTTCCTCTTGAGTTCAGGCATGCTCTCTGGCTTGCCTGAACTCAGCACTAAACAGGTGGTCCTGCTGTTTATTTTAGCATTGTTCCAGATTTAATGATGGTGGGAGATGCTTCAGAGAGAAGGTTGGCAAACCACTCTCTGAGTGCCCCCTCCCTATTAAACGTCCTGGAACACTGTTAAAAGCAGGCTGGCATGTGCTTCAGAGAGTGATTTGCAAAGCATTCTCTGAAGCTCCTCTTGCCCTCCTTTAATCATTGCTCCAGCAAGGGATTTTGACAGGTAGGTGAGGCAGTCCACCTGTATGCAGACGGAACATCTGTACACGTGCATCTGACACACACATTAAAAGCACCTGAAAACAGGTAGGTTTTTCACAATTCACTAGTACTCTAAACAACCACCACTAAAAGTCTAAAAATTGAAACAAACTAATGTATTGATTGCGGATACCTAATTGGCAGTTTGTACTATTCACAGAGCATTCAGAAGTACCATTACTTGCCAAGCAATGACTAATTTTTATAATCTCTTCCCCAATTCAGGTTGAACAGAATGTCCTATAACAGGTACCTATCTACAGCTATTTTAGGCAAATGTGATTCTCCATTCTTCCTCCCCCCCCCCCCAGTGCATGCACGGCTAACAATTTGTGGTCGCTTCCCTGAGCAAGCCCCACCCACTTTGCGTAAAATAACAATGTCAAAGGACAAAGATATGTGAAGTTATAATCCAATTGCACGAGTTCAGAGCAAGGTAATTCCTTTAGATTACTCTATTGTAGAAATCCTCCCCATCTAAAAAGCAAAAGAAAAACCCAAACTGAAAACTGCCTCACAATATATGGGGTGGTACCCTAAATCTATCACAGTGATTTCTTACAGAACCGTACTGCTGATTTACACCTCAAGAAAGAAAGAAAAGGTTGTGACTGTTCTTGTAGTATAGAGGAGGCAAAAAACAACCAACTGAAGGTACCTCCAGCTCCAGTTTTGCACTCCTCCACTCTTCTACTGAAGGTAACTCCCCTCCTAAACAAAGCATTCATGGAGGCTTGAAAAATGGCTGAATCCTCCATCGTTCGGCCCCCGCCTAAAAAAAAACGAGACAGGTACCAGAAACTGAAAAATCACCCAAGGAAAGGCAAATAGCCTTTGAGACAGGAGTACAAATGCCAAGGAGTACACATCTGAATTCCAGAATCAGTAGAGACTAGACACCTAATCAGAGTTAGGCATTTAATTTCTATTGATAGGATTTGTGCACAAAAACCTTATGGGTGACTTGGAAATTTAGCCCAATGATAATCACTGGGGAATTTGAAAGCAGCGAAAACCAGGCAACAATATTTATTGGTCTCCAAAGGGAGAGTTTCCTTCCACCTGAACAGTGTATTGAAAAAGCTTAGGCCACAAAGATATCAATTTACCAAACAGGACTTTCCCCAGCAGAAGCAAAAGAAATGAGCTCAAAAGCAGCTAATGCCCTGCTAGTCAGTACATCCACTCATTTCCTACATTTGCACAGCTTTGGAAACCATTATCAATGATACAGGGTGAGTCTTTTAAAAGAGGCCCCATGGAAAATGTGTACTCTGTATCCACAGGGCCTCTTTTAAAGGACTCACCCTGCAGATAGATGATGATAGATAGATAGATAGATAGATAGATAGATAGAGATATAGATAGATGATAGAGATGATAGATGATAGATAGATAGAGAGATAAGATAGATAGATATAGATAAGAGAGAGAGACCATACAAATCAACTAACCAAATTTGAGGCTTCTCTCAATAATATGAAGCCATGAATGGGGAACCCTCCAGAGCAGATGGGGGGAGAGGGGCAGGGAATGGAGGACTGCCGAAAATTCCCCCCCTCCCAGTTCTGCTGACAAAAGCCTTATTGTCAGCTATGGGAATAGATGCAATAGGTGACTCTTAAAAGTAGAATTACAGGTTACTTTTAGAGGAATAACTAAAGTTGCAAAACCAAAGTTAAACGTAGATATGTATGCTTTTCTTTCAAATATATGGCAGGAAAAGACCACTATATATTAATTATGAATATGTACCATGTTCTATATCATAGCAAATGAGATCTGAATCACCAAAAAGCTTCCTAACATATGCTTCTAGTGTATATTTGTATTTTTACCTAGCAAGTTCTTTAAAGCCACTCCTGTAGCACATTCACTATTAGTATGCATACTTTCCTATTATTTTTCCTGGTCCCCCCTCCCCCATAATCACAATATCCAAGATAAAAAGAAATAAAATTATATCCATACTCAGGCCCTAAATTAGATCACACCAAGATACCTCTCATATTATTTTTTTTTAAAAGAGGTAGCATGCTTTTGCTCACTTCGGTGCCCTGATGTCTAACAAAGGCATAATACTGCCTGTTCAAAAAGAAATTTATGTTACTGAAGTCATGATGAACTTGCTATCCAATCAAAAAGGCAGGCTTTTATTTTTAAGTGTTAGGTTTAAAAGTGTCTCAGAGGAGATGTTCCAGTAAAAACAAAGAATTCTGCAAGTTAAGGGCATAATTTATTATAAGACTTATCACGCCTTTCAAGGATCAAGGGGGGAAAAACCCTTAAAAGGCTAAAGAATGACAGTAACTTTATCCCTACAATTTCAGCTGAGTGTCAGAAGGCACAGCCAGAAATAAAGCAACAGTTTACAAAAAAAGTTATTACTCCCCTCAAAGGGTATACCACAATGCAAGGGGAATGATCTGCCATCCTGTTGCAGGGCTTAAGATTCTACAGGCTTCCTCTTGTTACAAACAACCAGCAACATGTTTGTATCTCTTACAATTTAGAGAGGGGAAAAGAGACAGAAAATACTTAAACCCACCCCGAGGCCCTGGGACAGGAAGAAAGCCAAGATGATACTCATGAAAAAACTGAGATAACCTACAGGGAAGAAGCCTGCCAAAGTACCCTACTACTCACTTGACTATTTCATTACATACTTCTATTATACACTGGCCAAGGTACCCAGCCATATGCCTAGAAACTCCATGCTAAAACTAAAAACAGCTATTTGATTTCAACCCAATCAAACCGAAATGACGTTCCTGACAGCTTAAAAGGCAAATTCAGGCAGAGAGAACATCCAACTTTTCACTCATTTCTCACCGCAGCCTGGGGAAGTTTGCTTTTCTCTGTCAAATCCCTCTGATAACCACATGTAGTGTGAAACACACACAAGAAACCTAACAGTCAATTTTAAGAAGTTTATTAAGGATGGTGGTAAGAGAACAAAGGGGAAAGGGAGAATGGTGATTTAGGAAATAAGGAAAACCTTTTAGAAAAACAGGCTAAGTCTATGATCTGTATACTCACAAAGCTAGGGGCTTCATCATAAATAATGCAGCATCTTGGGTGGTCAGAGGGGAGGGTAATGGATGACAGAATGTTGGTATCATTCCAGATTTTAGGGTTCTCAACCCAAGTAAGATTGATTGACAGATGGCTTTAAACAGCCAATCAGATAAGTGGCACACAGCCAAGAAAGGTGTTACCACCTTTGGGAAGTTGGGGGATGGGGCTGATAAGACCTTAATGACTGCCAGATTTAGCCAACATCCCTGCTAGATAACAGGCTTTTCTCAGTTTGTGTATTTGGACTTGGTGTGGAGCTACATGGTATGTCTGCCTCTATGTCAGCAGTGGCAGAGGTGTATGGCTGCAGCACTGGCCATACTGAGTTCTCCCACCACCAAACTCAAACACATCTTCACTGCAGCAGCAGTGATGAGTTGCCTCACACCAGAAGCTGGCAGCACAACTACCATTGGGAGCAAGGCCAGTCCTAGGACCAGCACCACCAAGAGTTCTCTTATTCTTAAGCAGGAGGCAAGGCTGTGCCACTGGCTAATACTGGCAAGGTCAGCTTGTAAGGTGTGGAACTTGAGCAGGGTATCCCAGAGGAGATGTCAGATGCAGTGTATATCTCACCTGTCACCTGGGAGCAGCCAGACTGCCTCAGTGGGACAGATGGGAAACACGGATCACTCCCAACAACCAGCTTGATCAGTCACCTCCTACCACTGAAGTGTGCTGCTTGGTCATTTTAAGAACAACTGCTTAAGAATTAATGACGGACTTTGATTTCCCCCCTTCTTCCTTCCCCTTTTCCTTGTGCACCATATTTTTGTAGATTGCAAGCCGGTAGCCTTCTTTTAATTGATTTCATGTATGCCACTCTAGAAGCCTTTTTAGCTGAAAAGCAAGCTACAAATCCTCTTAATAATGATGATGGTCTTCAGTATCCTTTCCTCAAGAGAGGCAGCAGCATGGCAGTGGTGGGCGCTGGGGAGGAAAAGGAACAGCAACCAGCAATTCTCTCTCCTATACTACCACCACTCATCCTGTGAAAAGCCACCAGCCCATCACACCAGCCCAAGCACAAGAGATGGGATTACTTTGAGCTGGCAGTGGACCCAAACTATGCCATCTGCCTGCACTGCAGGAAGCAGCTGAGTAGGAGGAAGGTTCCAAGGCATTGCATCACCAGCAACTTTATAATGTACTTGCACAGGCAGCACCAGTCCTCTTGATTAGGAAGCCCAACAAGTCAATCAGGAAGGGCAAGAGGTGCACACGGCAGAATGACTCTCAAGCTGCCCCCCCCAAACACCCAAAAAAGCAGCAGCTCAGGCAGGATACAATGCAGGATACGCGGCAGGGAAGTATGGATCCACCAGATGAACGCTTCCAATTCCTATGCCAACCTACTACTAAATCACTTTTCTTGCCGCTTTGTGTGCACTGCTACCTGGGTGCCCATAAACAAAACCACTAGGAGAATACTGAATCCCTTCAGCCGCCCCACCCTCAAAAATTCAACTTTAAAGGCGGCTAGTACAAAAACCTTCTTGTCTACAATTTGGAAGGTTCTAAACCTAGGGGGCCTCATACCTCCCCTTTTCATAACAATTGCTGACAAAACACATGGGGAAACAGAGGGAAACTTTTTCTTTTAGCCTTTTCCCAAAAGGCTACCCTTTGCGGGAAGAGTCATCCCCTCAGCAAGGAACAAATTTTATCCAATTCTCTTAAAAAAATAACACTGAAGATTATCTATAAATATAATTTAAAGGAGCGCAGCACTAAATCTCCTGGACCTATTTGCCTGTATTTGCAGGCTTTATCCACTCTGAATGGGCTATGACATCAGCAAATTTTACATCCAGTTCTGTCAAAGGGGGGGGGGAGAGAAAGGTACCATCATTTTTTAAATTTTCCTTTAACAGTGAAGTGGGTTCAGCCTCAGACCCTGCTCTGAATCAGTCAGACTCTGGTAGCACACAGTCAAGTTGGTGTAACATCCTGACAACACTTTCCCAGCCTGGGCAAAATGGGGAAGTATGGTTAGTTAGAGTTTTCCTGATTTGTTTGCTCACACCATAAAGGGAGATTTGAAGTAAAAAGTTCATTCAGACCTGAGATACAATCAAAGATGGTCACTGTGTCACTTCAACTGAATTAGTCTTTTTGAAGACACAGTGCCCTGAAAAGTCAAAAGCACCTCACAACACATAGTTCGCAACAGCTAACAGTTCAAGGAGTCACCTTTTTCATATTGCATAAATCCAATTCTGCATTAATATAAATCAGTGTTTTATTGAGAGTAGGATCGGTATACTTTTTAGACATCCTAAAAAAGTAATTCAGCAACTAGCTCTGCAGGCAACTCAGCCAGGGGAAGGCAATGATGAATCCTTCTCCACTGCCTTCTTTGCTTCTCTTCCCAGCCTTCTTTAAAAGGCCCAGAGGGAGGGAGAGGAAAAAGGCCACTTTCAAAATTTTGCAACCTCCTTTCTCCTTCCCTCAACCTGGGCCATTTGAGGTAACATGGGGTGAGTCTTTGTGCAAGAGTTCTAAACATGGGAAAGGGAAGAAAAAATGAGAAAAGGCGTATATTCTTTACTCTTGCAACACTTGCTTAGCAATTTCAAGGAGCACAAACAAACTACAGCAACAAGTCACCTCAAGAGTCTGAATTTTGCTGGCTGCAACTAGTACTCGCCTGTACCTTACAGGTAGGCCTGCTATATGTCTGGAAAATTCCTGACATACCAGGAAATTGGATGCCTAAAATGGCATCCTGGGGAATTTTTTTGAGAGATGTCTGAAATTTCCCCTATGTATGGAAACCCGGTTTTTTATTTCTGGTTTCTGCCCCCCCCCCCCCACTGAGTAGTGGAAGGAATGTCCCCACTTATGTGGGAGACCCAAAGCACACTTGTGACCCCAGCCTCCCAACACGAAGCAGCCCCAACTGAGGAGGAGGAAGAGGGGAGTGCGGAGGACAGTGGAAAGAGGGCAAGAGCAGCCCCGAGTATCCACCAACCACCGGGAAAGGGAAAATAAAGATGACTCAATTATCCTGCTCCCAACTTCCTCCTCCCCCGAGACACACTGTGTTACCTTCTCGAAGCTGCCATGGCTGCTGCCTCGAGGAAGACAACCACTCCCCTTTTTAGGATGCAGAGCAGGAGGCGAGGAGTCCGTCTAAAAGAGAACAGGGCACCTGTGGCTACTTGCTCAGGAGCAGGTTCAAAGGAACTTGTCTCCTTAGTCCCACTCTCCCAAAGTGGGGGGAGGGGGGACTCTCAACAAGGAATCTTCCTTCCTTTCCCTGCTAGAAGAAGAACCAGCTCTTGGAGATGCTGGGGGGGGTGTTAGGTTTTTTTTTTGTTTTTTGGGGGGGCCATGCCAATGACCCTTCCCCCTGTTTTTTTTTTTCCTTTGAGAGTGTCAGGAATTTTACTTTTTGAAATATGGCAAGCCTACCTGCTGTCCTAGATGCATTTAGATTACCATAGCTGTGTATTCTTAATACATAGCAATATTTTGTATCAACCCATCAATATTTTTACCAACAGGCAGTGTAGCAGAACCAATGTGTAGTGTCCATCATGCACAGATTAGGGTGTAGAGACAACACAGATATATGTTTACTCTACCCTGCATCTATTAAGGATAAAGAAAAGAGAAAAACAACAGGTAAAAGGAACAAAACAGCATGGGCCGGCAAAATACAGCAGAATACCTATGATTTTGCACAATACTTGCAAACAAAGAGAGAGAGCTTTTAATCCCCAATACAGAGTCAACAAAAGGCACAAAGATACATAATTCCTTCTACTGTACTGACTGGAAGGGAGGGATTATTTAGCTTCCTGGTGCAATCAAGTGTAAGTGGCCTGCTGGTGCCTTCCAAGAGATACCTGCTTCAATTTTTTGAGAAGTATTAGCCTGCTAATGAATTATGAATAGGAGCTTTCAGCTCAAGTATCTGACCACTTTTGTTTATTCTCTCTTCCAAACATTTCAAAGACTAAATAAAATATTCTCCCTGCAACTCTTATCTGCCAAGATGGAGAAAGCTTCCTGAGCTTTCTCTATAACGTATCAATATGGTACTTTATTTATGTATGTGGTTACACGTTCTTATATGTTGTTTCTTTTTATTGGTATCCCATTGCTTCATATGAAAAAGTATGTCTGCAGAAAGGTACCATGGCATACTGCTGCTTGCCATTAACTGAAGAGAAAACACACATGTTCCAGACTAGAGGAGCTGTATTTAGGGAGATCTAGAAGTAAACGAAGACATATTGACAGTACAGAATTTTAAGTGAAAATTGCTTTGTATGAAAGCAATGTTATAAACACTGGGTTGTATCCAACTGGATTTAGGTTAGTCAATAATTTAACTTGGTTTATTCTGAGAATAACCAGTGTTGGATACAACTGGGGTGGCAGGAAGCTAAGTGGGAAAGGGCTCAAGGAGATAAGGGAGTTAAACTAGCCCAATCCAAGTCATGGCAGCTCAAAGCACAAAGGTGGAGTACTAAAATCATGAGTGTGGGTGGGAGGGATAGGAGGATGTGCATGAAATGGTAGGGAGCATGGTTTTAGAATAAGAGGAAAGAGGGTTCATGGATGTACAGGATGCAAGTGGGAGAACCTCCCATAGTTGTATGAACCAGAGTACCTGATTTTCACATGGATCAGAACCAACCAACTGAATGTGCAAACATGATTTACCTTGATATTTTGGGCATCGACATTTGCTCCAGCTTCTAGAAGAAGACTAATCACTGTGGTATTTCCTGCTAGCACTGCCCAATGTAGTGCTGTGTTCTTATGATATTTGTCTCCCAGATTCACTGAAACGTTAAAAGTAAGTAGCAACCGAGTGGGGTCCACACTGCAAAATAAAAGCAAAATTAAATCCATAAAAACATGGACTTATCATTATCTTCATATTAATCCAGGGATCAGATCCCCTTGGAGATAATTTATTTGATCAATACTAATCAGATTTCTTTCTCCAGTATTAAAAGCACTAATGAGCAGGGGGAAGGGATTTTCTTCCATGGAACTCTATAAAATACTCTATGAAATAAGAGTTAATGATTAGGGTTGGTTTTTTTACTCTCTGAGGCAGCATTTTATACAGAGAGCCCCAATTCCCAGAAGCAGTAAAAAAAAAAAGGTCATTAGCAATTTTAAGACAAGACTAGATATTTGATCTGCATTGCATGAATTAATATTCTTCCCCCTCCTTATCTCAGATGCCCAGGGGTCAATTTCAACATGAAATCACAAAAATGACATTTCAGCTTATATCTAGGATATTAACAGAGGGAGGAAGTGAGAACACATAGTTCAGTGGTCCCCAAACTGCTATGTGCTAGATGCCGTATGATTCTTAAATGTATTGTATTACTTCTTTTATTTCTTATATTGTATTTTATTTCATTGTATTACAATTTGAATTCTATATAATTAAAATTGTGTGCTCTTCACAGCCACAGACCATAGTCTGAAAACCCCCAACCTGGTTTAGACATACAATTGGCCCTGCCTTCAAAATGTGATGTGTCTTCTTTCGAAAACAGTATTACTATTTAGCCCCTTTTCAAAAGTTTTATTTTTCTTAACACAGACAATACTGGTGATAGCTCAATCTGAAGAATATTTGACTACTAAGAAAACACAAAAAATAGCCAGCTTCTGCTCAGAGTAAACTACTGAAATTAGCAGGGCTAGGTTAGTCATGTTCAAGACTTTTTTTTAGCCAGAGCTCACCAGAACACAGTTACAGCACTTTTCAGGTGGGTGCCATTGCCACTGTAAGAGAACAAGGGAGGTGTTCATAGTGAGTTACGGTACCTCTTTTCTAGAAAAATAGAACTGATTATGTCCATTCATTTCAAAAGGGCTTATTGTGAGTACGTTTAATATTGGATGTAGTCCAAAGATTTTGACTCTTCTTCTCCATAATAACCTAAAGTTGGGACAGAATTTTGAAAATGGGAGAGGTGCACTGAACCTAGGAAATACCTTGTGTCTGTCTCTGAAGATGATAATTGGAAGGAAAGTGTGTAAAAAATCCACTTTGTGTAAATGCCACAAAGACAGATATTTTCAACATATGTCAACAAAACATGCTAGGAATGTTGGTCCCAATGTGACACTCCTGTAATGCTAAATCAGTTTTCCTGCTCATGAATTCTTAGAAATAAAGCTCCCTTTACTAAAATAACAAAAAAAGATTAATCAACTCTAAGGTAAAAATATATTACACATTTTGTATAGTTCATTATTCTATTTGATTAGTACAAAAAGCTTCAGATTGGTCTAGTTTTGAATTAACAAATTACCTGTGTGTTCTATAAGCTGCCCACATCAAAGGAGTCATTCCATTTTGATCCATCATATCTACATCCTGATGAAAAGAGCAACAGTAATCAGACATGCACATTTATTGAAGTTGAAGAAAAAATATCAAGGACAAACTTCCAGATGTCTAGTCTGGAAGGGGTCAATAAATCATTATAAACCAGGGGTAGGAACCTGTGGTCCTTTGGATGTTGTTGGACTCCCAACTTACATAAGCCCCAGTCACAATAGCCAATGGCCCCAGATGAAGTGAACTGTAGTCCAGGAACATCTGGAGGACCACATGTTTCCCATCTCTGTTAAATGGTGTTAAATGGTACAGTGATGTAAATAAGCAAATATTTTAAATAGTGAGGTTTTCACACACTGCAAAATGCATAATAAACCACATTGTATGCATGTAATATAAGAGATCAAACATCACAATATATGCTACAGCACCATCTGCTGTTACAACTCTGCCATTTTTGCAAATGAACTACCCAAATAATAATATGTACATCTTCCAATCAGAATTAACAATGAAGTAGGAAGAATGAAATAATCACACTGGGCAGGACCCAAAGAAATGTTCAACTGGTTCTGTGGACCCACTTCTGTTTCTTGAACAGATGGCTTCCATGCTATGTTTCAAACAGATTTCAAAGAGGAGGGAACCTTGTTATACATCACAGAGTTTTGTGCAATGTAAGAAAGTTAAGAATCAAGAATATTCCACTCTATAGGTACAAGACTTTGGCAGTTTGACTAAAGGAATCTTTGTATGTGAACAATAATCTGAAATTCCTCGTGTTTAACAATATCATATTGGTTAAAGTTAATCTACAGTTCAATCCTTTTAAGAGTCACAGATGCTTCAGAAATAATCTGCATATGCAGGGACAAACTCAAAAACCATGAAGATTTGACACAGGTCCATTAGATGTAACTTTGAGCCCTGCTTGTCCCATGATAATGAATGCTTTTCAACTTGTGCAGCTCAAGGACATGGAGAGGATCTTTGGAAATCTGAGACTTACCACATCTGTGCCAGAACCCTGCCCTTCCTGGCTCATTAAAGGGCTAGTGGGTCATGGGTCGAGTGGATAAAAGGAGTGGTCAATACGTCGCTTAAAACAAGGCAGGGTGTCAGCATTTATAAGACCTATACAAATTGAAAAAGCCCTCCCTGAATCCCACCACATTGTATAATTATTGGCAAGTTTCCAATATCCCATTTACTGTATGGGCAAGGTACTGGAATGTGTGGTGGTATCTCATCTCCACGGGTTTCTTGATGAGATGGATTATCTAGATCCATTTCAATATGGTCTCAGGCCTGGTTATGGGAAACAGACAGCTTTGGTCACCTTGATGGATAACTTACAACAGGGAATTGAACTGGGGGAATGTCCTTGTTGATTCTGCTAGACCTCAACTCTGACTGCTAGACCATGGTGCTGCATCTGCACAGACCTTCTATTTCATACATACATTTTATTAAGCAGATGCACTATCTAGAATACAAATCTAAGAAAAATGTACAGCAATCAGCAGCAGGAAAAAAATTGTGATGCATCACCGTCTGTATCTGACCATGTTGTACTCAAAACTGACCATCAGAACAGGCCCACTAAAGCTCATTAATGTCAATGGGTTTATTCAGAGTATAACTTGGTCAGGCGCAACCGAATGGATTGGAATCCAACCAAGTTGTACTTGGAATAAGCCACGTGAACTAACGTCGGATACAATATCATTAACACTTCTGAGGAGAAAATAAATTTGAATTATAGCTACCTACCCACACATACCTACCCTTTAGATCTACGTAAACCAGAGACATACCTGAACACTGTACCTTAAGAATGGAACATCCTTAATATTTATTTTTTTTGGATTACACACTGAAATTTTACCTAGACATACTCTATTTTCCTTCCCATTCCCTTTTCTTTTTAAGACTGTGCACTTTCAGGCAGGGTCTGCTTTATCTTTTAATACAAGTGCAACACTTTAAAAACTTACTGACCTTATAACTGCTTGTTATCTTATTCTTCTTCATCATCATCAATGAAGAGGAGAACAAATTAGTTTTTAACAGTAGAATGTCTTGGCCAAAAAATGTCAAAAAAAATCTCCACCTAATTAAATTCTGTAATAATGCGGACAGGATCCATTCCGGAGCTCCAGTCAGATCCCGAGGTTTCCGCAACCAGAGGGACTGCTTCTGCTCATGTGCGTGGCGCTGTAGAGAACTTCTAAGCATGCACGCGCGGCGAAACACTTCCGGGTTTGCCGCTTTCACAACCCAAAGTTTACGTTACCCGAGGGTAATGTAAGCCAAGGTGCTACTGTATGTGATCCTTGAATAATGAAGAGCTCAGAGAGCTCAGAGAGAAACATGGAGTAAAATGTGGAGGTCCTGCTGCATAGGTATGGTACAACTGATCAAGGGTTTTTATTCAAACAATGCAAAATTGATGGTGCAATCCTAAGCATGATTAATTCAGAAACAACTTTTACTGAGTTAAACAGGACTTACTGTGAGGTAAGTGTGCAAAGAATTACAGCTCTAATAGTAGCTTATTAATCTGGAGAACAACTTCATTTTGTGATATATAAGGATGCGTTTAAAAACCCAGGAAGACTGGGTCTTTAGATTCTACCACCACTAAAAACTACAGAAAGTTAAGTACATACATACCTGCCCCTTGGCTATTAAATAAGCAACTATCGAGGTATGTCCAAACTGAGCTGCCAAGTGAATACAACTACATCCTTCCCCATCAATTAATGATGGATCTGCACCATATTTCATTAGCTGTACAACCATTGATAAATGACCCTGTCTGAAATAATAAGAATATAAGATTGAAAAACCTTTAGACTGTAGTAAACCACATTAAGAACTTTACATTGACAAGCATTAAGGTTCAACAAATCAAAGAACTCAAAAACAGGGTTTGCAATGTATTTTGAATCCTAGTTAAGCAACACAGGTTTATTTTTATCTTGGTACAAATAAATGCACATATAGAAGGAAGCAAACATGTATCTGATCCCCTGATATCTGGCAGGGTCATCTATCCACTAGACACCTTGCCCTAAGTTAAGGAAGACAACAGGGTTCCACAAGTAGAAAGAAGATGCAATGGAAAAAAATAGTGCAAACTCATAAGAGCGTGGTCATTTCGACACCATAAATTTAAAGCAATCTTATACCACTTTAAGAGCCATGACTTCACTCTAAGAATCCTGAGAACTGCAGTTTGTTGTGGGTGCTGGGAATTGTAGCTCTGGGAGGTACCTCCAAATAACTCTCAGCACTCGTAACAAACTACAACTCCCAGGAGTTTTGTGGCAGGGCAAGCCATGACTGCCAAAGTGGTATAAGAGTGTTTTAAAATGTATGGCGAGGATGTGACCTGAATAAGCCACACAATGCAATAGCTGTGTTTGGAGCACATCTGTGCCAGCTGTTTATTCGAGTCACACAATCCTGCATGGATAGCACTCTACTTTTGGGTTTTGTTCCAAGAATAAGCTACTTTAAATTTACTTAGTCAACTTGTCCTGTTGTCAAAACCACACAGAAGATAAGAAATTTATTTGGGGTATTTCTAGTCATTAAGAATTTGGACAGCCAAGCGCCTGGAAGTTCTATCTTTCTGTAACTTAACCAATCTGTTTTTAAAACTTCTACGTGGTTTTTATTGTCTATGCTCATGATAGATTTTTAAATATTCTGTTCTGAATAGCAGTATACAAATATATCCATACTATCTATAAACAGACGATCTATAAATAAAATCAAGAGAAGGACATGAGTGAAAGTGCCTTTCTGTCACTGTTGTTCCCCAGCAACTCATAATCAGCAGCATGCTGCCTCCAATCCTGAAGGCAATATATAATCATCATTAATATTAGGAATTGACAGCCTTATCCTCCATTAAGTCACTTAATCCCCTTTTAAAGCTACCCAAGTTGGTGGCCATTACTGCATCTTTTGGTAATAAAAGCCTTAGTTTAACTATGAACTCTCAAGAAGTATTTCTTTTTGTCTAGCCCTACCATTCAACATCACTGGATGAGCCAGATTCTAGAACGATGACAGAACGGAAAAACATCTTCATATCCATTTTCTCCGCACTCTGCATAATTTTATTTGCATTTATCATGCCTGCTCCCATCCCTTATCTCCTCCCCCCAACTAAGAAACCCCAAACTTGTAACCTTTCTACATGGCGACATCTCTCCAGCCCCTTGATCATTTTGGCTGCATTGGCTGCATCTTTTCCAGCTCTTCAACGTCCTCTCTGAGATGCAGTGATTAATAATCAACAAATTTCCTCTGACAAAACTGAAGAGAAAAACGCTGAAATCTTCCCCACCTTGTTGCCCAGTGAAGTGGTGTGGAGTTCAGGTCCCCTCCTAGCTGGTCAACAATAGCACCTTTTGATATGTAGAACCTGCAGTCATAAAACAGGTGCAAATGTAGTAATGCAAGATAGTAATTAAAGACATGGTTATAAAGAGGTGTAACACATTAAGAGCAACTATGGAAATGAATATAATTTCACAGCTTGCCCAGTGATTATGTTCTCCTTTATAACAGTGGCTTAAGATTAAGGAGAAACCAGGTACTTTTAAAGTGACGAGAGGTTAAATAACATATTTATAATTATCATTTATTTTAATATACAGCAATTAACTAATGAAAAAAGTTTTGACATGGGAGAGTATCCATGCTATCAGCATTACTTTTTGACTGAGGAAAGAAAATCACACCACACACAAGTCCATATCCACTGTAGAGAGGAAACACTGCAATTTAAAACATCACAACGCAAGGAGCATCCTCAGAAGTCTTACGGGCAGTGTAAAGCCAGTGTCCAACATCAACCTCCTTGTACACTGAGGTCATCTGCAATGCTTTCTTTTGAGTGCCCCTCACTGATGAGGTGGATGATGACTGGAGAAACGATATTTTCAGTTGTGACACACCATTTATGGAATTTCTCCCCCAAGAATGCTTGCCTGATGCCTATGCATCTATCTCTTCAGTAACAAAACAACACCTTTCTATTCTTTGGGGCCTTAAAAGCAATGTTTTTCATTTGTTGGTTTTTCTACATTTATCTTTTTTTAAAAAAATGGTCTCCTTATTCTGCTTTCTTGAGGTTTTTTGTTATTGTTCATAGAATATATATAGTCTTATGAATAAAATCTCAGAAGTTGCATTTCTATAGAGCTCATCAATATAAGCAAACTGATATCTACAGTTCTAGTGAAATCCATAGCTATTAGGAGGCTGCATAAGAAGTCTGTTGATGGTCCACCTCCCCTCCGCACTAAGCAGTGTTCCTGTGATTCTCTGATGACCTGCCTAACAGCAGATCCTTTTCAGATCAGTTAACACATGTAATGGAACATCACTGCACAGGAAAATTGAAATATACTGTTAAAAAACATCACAACCAAAAGCCATAAGTAATGTTGACTTCATTTTTGGTATCATCTATATTTATTTATTTGGAAATATTTATAAGCTATTAATCAGAGCAGTATGCATCATAAAATTGTAGTTAAAATACACCTAAACCTTCAAAACTATTTAAAAACAATATACATTATATAATTATCATTACCACACAGATAAAATCAATAGGTAAGGAGTTGCAAAGGACATGTACTGCTACACTAAAACAGCGACTCCTTGCAAATGCAGAACAAATACTATGTGGCACCTGTAGAAGTGCAAGTTCTGCAGATATAAGCAGTCAACTAGGCATATGTAGGCAATGTGATTCTTGAAGTAAACTGGCCCTAAGTTGTTATTGCACTAACTGCAGTTTCCAGATCAGCCACAAGGCAAGCTCCACATAAAAGTGCATTGTAGTAATGCAACCTTGAAGGAACCAATGTGGCCGAGAAGGGTCACACTCTTATACCTGCAGAAGTTGGTAGAATGAAGCTTTGGGGAGTGACACAAAACCATGCAGTATAAAAAGTCATAGCTATTTAAATTACTTTGCTTTAATGCACTCATTTATTCTAATATAAAGGTCCAGTCGTGGCCGGCTCTGGGGTTGTGGCGCTCATCTCGCTTTATCGGCCGAGGGAGCCGGCGTACAGCTTCCGGGTCATGTGGCCAGCATGACTAAGCCGCTTCTGGCAAACCAGAGCAGCGCACGGAAACGCCGTTTACCTTCCCACTGGAGCGGTACCTATTTATCTACTTGCACTTTGACGTGCTTTCGAACTGCTAGGTTGGCAGGAGCAGGGACCGATAAATGGGAGCTCACCCCGTTGCGGGGATTCGAACCACTGACCTTCTGATCGGCAAGTCCTAGGCTCTGTGGTTTAACCCACAGCGCCACCCACATCCCTTATTCTAATATAGCAGGGTTTTATTGATGTATGCTTCTAATGATGAATTCATTTTGGTAGGAGAGTACTACTTACTTCACTAAATCTAATCTATTGTTGATTGCAGCCCAGTGAAGAAGTGTAACATTTTCTTTATCTGGTTGCCGTACATCGTAGCCCGCTTCCACCAACTCTCGACAACGTTCATAAATTCCATACCTAGACAAAAGATTCCATTATGATAATCAGATATTTTGGACAAATAAAGACAAAGCAGATTTGAATCCTATTATCTTATTTTATATATACTGCAACTGTGATTTTAAAAACATAGGACACAATCTATAAAAAATACCAGTGTCCCCATGGAGCTCAGTTACTTTATTTTCCTTCCTCAGATGTTCCTTGATGCGAGCTGTAGTTTATTCACAATCTACCCTTCACATACTTCCAAGGTCCCAGATGTCAAGTTGTGCTTGCCCTTCACAATCAATTATTTCAATAAAAACTGAATACATTTTCAGTACTAAAACCAAGGTGAGGCCAAATTTGTTGGTCATATTAATCACAGTAAGAATGTATAGTTTATGATACTGTTGCAAGCCTTGCATTTTACTGTTTCTAAATACTTAAGCAAATGGAGCAAGATCTAATTAAGTCATACCTGGAGTAAACCTACTGAAATAAGTGAAAATTTACCTGCCTATTGATTTCAATAGTTCTACTCCAAGTAGGACAAACACTGGCTATCACCCATGATTAATTACTAAAGCCAAAATTGTGTATTGTCAAAACCCATTTGATTCAATGGCAGGTGGGATTGCCAAAGTCATTTTCCCCCAAACCCCACCCTCTTTCTTTTCTTCTTTTTTGCCACTCAGATAACATTGAATGTGCACAAGTTAAATGCATGCAAGTTGCAGGCTTACTGTACCACACTTTAAGTATCCTAACTTATTACAGTGTCTTGTAAGACTCCATACTACAGTGGTACCTTGGATTAAGAACTTAATCCGTTCTGGAGGTCCGTTCTTAACCTGAAACTGTTCTTAACCTGAGGTACCACTTTAGCTAATGAGGCCTCCCACTGCCGCCGCATGATTTCTGTTCTCATCCTTAAGCAAAGTTCTTAACCCAAGGTACTATTTCTGGGTTACTGAAGTCTGTAACCTGAAGCATCTGTAACCTGAAGCGTCTGTAACCCGAGGTACCACTGTACTTCCGCAGTTTAGACAAAATGGTTTTCAGGTTTACTTTTACACATACAAATGAAAAATTGAGGTTTACCTTGCATAACTGAAGCAAAAGTAACATAAACCTTCAATCTACTATACATCATTAATTTTGGGCTTTACTATTAACTAAATGCACAATCTTAGCTTGTTCAGGGACAGCAGAGAAGAAAATTAGTGTTCAGATATTAAAACACTGTAGCTATTTTTAGGCAAAACATTAGATGGTGCTCACTTCCACATTTCTCTTAAGTATGAAACAGCTTTTACTAATATCCTAAGGTAAAACACTATCATCACCATTTATATTTGCATGAAATCTTTTTCCAGCTGTTATCCAGTTTAACTTACAACCTGAAACTGGATCTTGGGAACAGAAGGGAGATAATTCATCTTCAATTTTATCTCATTTTGCTCTCTAAGTTATCACATTTGTAAGACAAACACCTTTATTCTAGTATTACAGCTATGGGAAGAACAATGCATACTCTGCATGACCGTGATTCTATTAAGTAAATCTTAACACTAGACTGTGAAGAGGGGGGAAATATAGAAGAGATTAAATACAAATTCCTCTTCTCTTGGCCCTTCCATTATTAAAACTACTGTTGGTGGCTCTCTACATAGGTACCTGCTTGAATGAAGAGATATGATTCAAGTTAAGTATAATCACATCTGAGAAATGAGAGAAGGCAGAAAAATAGCTACATCAATCAAGGTGTACTGTTTCCATGGTGTAGTGCAGGGGTCACCAATGTATCACCTACAAGCACCAGTGTGTCTGCCAATACTTCCTGTGTCTGCAAAAGGTCTCAGTAAATGTCCTCTCAAAACTCCACAATGCACAAGTGACTGTTTGCTCTTCCTTTGTTTTCGCTTGTGCAGGGTTAGTCTCTCCTACACTGAACACAGCCCCTTAAACATGTCCACATTTCAGTGCATACCAGGATTGGACACCCACCCTCCCATCTTCCTACTTTCTCACTTTAACAATTGGTAGCAACAGCTGCAGCATTAGGAGAGTAACAGGGCAAAAGCATATATTGTAGTAATGGCTGCTGTCTTTGCAGTGTTAAGTAGCTGGCAGGAAGAGGGTAGTAGGGCTGGCAAACAGAGGACTGGTGAAATGTAACTGGGCAAATATACTCTGTGATGCTCTTATTCTAATTATTTTAACACTCACATTATTGGATTCTTAAACTGAAGCTACAGACAAACAAGACTGAAGTGTGTTTGCATACGCATTCTTTCCTCCACAGACTTTTCAAGATGTACCAGTCCAAAATTGCTGTTCCGTTCCTTAAAATCTTTATGCAGACATTTTCAGAGGATTGTTTTCCACATGGTGCCAAAATAGACAAGCTGTCAAATAAACCCACTTACTGTGTAGCTTTGACGATATCCCATGTGCTATAATCATCAATGTGACTTTTGCGCCCAAGAGATTCACTGTATCCATGGGTATAATGTGCTTGGGGCTTGATTTCCTACAAAAAGAAGTTCATTACACTATTAGATTCATTTTAAGATTTCTAAAACAGAAGAAAAGCTCTGCTGCATCAGGCAATTGGCCCATCCATTCCAGCATGCTGATTCCCCAGAGTGGTTGCAGCGAACCCCCTCTTAACTACAGGCTAATTTATGGTTATTTAAAGTCTGGCACTTGGAGACTTGGGGAAGTTAAGCACGAAAAAGATTTTGTTTTAGAACAAAACTGGTAAAACATAAAGTGTGCCAGGAGATAGAATTTTATCAAGAAACAGTTAAACTTATGCTGTATATCTTAAATTCAGGGGATGTTACAGACTTCAAAGCAAGGTGGTAAACGCACAGTTTCTTCAGCTAATTATATAGGTGTTACTCCTAATACTTGGGTTCCTAAACAAGGTGGTTCTTTATTTGAGTTTCCCAGTCTTCTTTAAATCACACTCCTGAGGCTTCTCTAGGAGTATAACAGACCAAGGGATCACCACACCCCTCCAACTGATTTGGGATTCTTCTCTTTCTCTATCCCCTTCTTACTGAATGGAGAAAAGCTGAGCTATGGAACTCCTTGCCATGAGGAAAAGACTATGACAAAGCAATATCCAAAGATGGATTAGATATCAGTACAAAATGGTGCCAGTAATTCTCAACTGCCACATTCTGCTTCCATCTGCCATTACGTTGAGACTGGCTGTGTCACTGCACCACCATTTTGTGACTGGTGGGCATCAGCAATTTTCAGCCAACTCTAGTGGGCTCCAGACAACCCCTGACTTGAAAGAATTATTTCAACAATTCTATGTTGATTTCAGTGCAGTTTATACTATTTAAGGCATTTGTTTCTAAATAGCAACCTGTGCTAATTACGAGAGAGTAAATAAGGTATATATGAACAATCTGCAAGTGTTGACATTTGACAGAAAATGGATTTAGATTTAACAGATGCACTAGCTTCTTGGGGGGGGGGTCAAAAAATCGACAGTTGGGAAATGTCACAAAAGTATGGCAAGTTTTCAAGTTCTCCGTGAACTCTTCCATCAGGCTAGATGTCACACAAAGCAGGGAGTATGGAAAGTTAAAAGCTTGTTACACGTGTGTGACTTTTCGGTTTGTCCTAATAAATATACTGTCTAACTCTAGATTTTGGAATCTATTCTCATGGACCAACACAACTAGCTTTAATTTTTCAATGTAGATTTTAGGAAACCATTTTGGTTTGCCTGAAATAATTGGTATCTAGTTTAAAACACCTACTATTAGGAGGAAGGAGATACACAGCAGACACAGAATATCTTCATCTTTTGCATTGTGCCAAAGCTCTCCACATTTCCAAGCTTTCTATGTAACGGAACCCTTCAACGAAATTGGAAACCACAACCAATGCCAGTGATGAATCCACAAAACAGACTGATGGAAAAGATTCTACGGCATTCTATTAGCCACCCCTAATTTAGGGAAAGTTGGTAACAGTAAAATGGGCCAATCCCTACACATAATGGGGATTTAGTATGAGCCACTGCTTTCCTTATATGCACACTTCAGTAAGATAACCCAACTTCTGCTGCTGCTGGATAATTTAGAAGGGTACCTGGCAGTTGAATTATTTGGCAAGAATCTCTTCATTTCAAACCCTATTATAGATGATAACCAATCCTTCAGGATGAGAAATCTGTCTAATGTCTAGTAACAAACATTCAAATTCAGTTGGGAGAAGCTGCAACTGTAAAGCAGACAGCATATTGCAAGTACTAAAGGAACATCTTGATTCCACCTCCTAAGGAAATGGAAAAACACTGCATCATTGCTTTTATTTTTTTATCCAGAGCACCAAGAATAACTCAATCTACTATAATTCCAAGATCTTCTTTCCCTTGCTGGTGACCACAAAAAGCGACACTAATCAATACATTATTGCATTAAGCCTATTAGATATGAAGTGCCACTAGCCAGAGTTGTGGTTACTACCTTTCTAACAGTATAGCAGCTGCGTATGTAAACTCATCCTCCTCTTCCAGTGCATTGGAAGCCCAGAGAACAGCTACCACAACTAGCACATCCCAAACACTTCCAACAAAGCAGGGTGTGTGGGAAAGTGTACAAAGAAGACTGAGCTAAGGAGCTCTCACAGTCACCATCAATGCGTGTTGGAGTAGAAGTGAAAAGAAGAGGAGAAAAGGCTTGCCCCTGGCCAGCTACTGCTAGGAAGGTGCTAAGCACGCAAGCACCCTCTGCCTTCTTGTAGCTGTACCTTGGAAGCAGAACAGAATCTGTTCCGGAAGTCCATTCGACTTCCAAAATGTTTGATTTCCAAGGCACGGCTTCCGATTGGAAGCCGTGGAAGCCCCACCGGACATTTGGCTTCCAAAAGAATGTTCGCAAACCGGAACACTCACTTCCAGGTTTGTGGAGTTCAGGAGCCAAAACGTTTGATTGCTAAGGTGTTTGTCAACCAAGGTATGACTGTATCTTCCCAGTCCAAAGACAGTGAGGTGGAATCAAAACTGAATGTACATCAATCAAAATGGAAGGTAGTTGCATGCAAATATATGGAAAAGTCAACCAGACTGCAAGCAGGAAACAGTGGCTCAGTTTGCATGTCATTATGAAATAAAGTTAATCATTTACTAGAAACACACTGATTTCACCTGCTTTGCTCCTCCTCACTAGCATGACAAACAAACCACAATTTTTGGCTTAGCAGTACATCTGATTCAAAGATTGTGGCTTGTTTTGCTCAAATAATAATTTCTTGCGTATTTAGTAAAATCCACAAACTTCTTTTTTAACACATTTACAGTTTAATGTGACATTTGAACAAAGCCAGTAGTTAAGAGTTTTGTTTTAGCTTACAAAGTTAACGTTAAGGCAGGCTTGCTCAAACTTGGTCCTCCAGATGTTTTTTGGCCTACAACTCCCATGATCCTTAGCTAGCAGGACCAGTTGTCAGGGATGATGGGAATCGTAGTCTCAAAACATTTGAAGGGCCGAGATTGAGGAAGCCTGCGTTATACCAGTGGTCTGACTTGGTATAAGGCAGCTTCTTATATCCCAAACCCAGTACAGTGGTACCTCGGGTTAAGTACTGAATTCGTTCTGGAGGTCTGTTCTTAACCTGAAACTGTTCTTAAGCTGAAGCACCACTTTAGCTAATGCGGCCTCCCACTGCCGCCGTGCCGCTGCTGCGCAATTTCTGTTCTCATCCTGAAGCAAAGTTCTTAACCCGAGGTAGTATTTCTGGGTTAGTGCAGTCTGTAACCTGAAGCGTATGTAACCCAAGGTACCACTGTATACTGACTCGAACAATGTACTCCAATGCTTTTCTGTGGTTACACACAAACTATTACTCCTACTACCAATTCTTTTTGTTTAACTAACAATTGTTTTCAGTTTGATTACAGTTATTTATTAGTTTACAAACTTGGCCAATTATTTTGAAAGATGGAATATGCTATTTAAAAATAACTGACTACATGCGTGTAACATGGGCAAAAGGACTTCAGACTGATATTCTGTGAGTGCTAGCTTTGAATAGAGAAGAGAATATGCTAGAGATCCTTCAGCTGTTTTTTTTCTGCAGGAGAAAGTTTGTGCCATTATAAATATAAAAACTAAATTGTTAACTGCAGAAACAAGAAGCACAATGTTTGAAACAATTTGTGAAAGCAAACAGCACTAACAAATTGCATTTTTTCAGATATTCAAAAATAATTCTTACAAACTAATAGAAAACAACAGGGGAATTTTATTCAGCAAGAATCAGTCGTTTAACTAACTGATTAATCCTGCAGATTCTCCAATATGCTTATGCTGTTTTTACATAACAAAGGAATGGACAGATGCATGACCAGAGCTTTTAATCCAAACACTGCATTTGGAGGTCAGAAAGATCATGTGATTTCATGCACAGCTGGCATGGAATAAGCTGTCACTTTTTTTTTTAATGGACCATTTAGATTAGTTAAATTTTACTCATTCAAGCTGAAATACACATGCATTAAAATCAATGGGAGTTTTTGCTCTATTGACTTCACCAGTCCGTAGACTCTGCTATGTCAATCTATGTTTTTTTAAGAAGTATTAAAAGGGTCAAGTATTCTTGTCAAACTGTTTTTCTATACTTACATAACATCTTTAAACATTTGTTTACTGAGAACACCTCTTTAACAGCATATGGATTTAGTTAAATTTCTAAGAATAGAATTTGTTCATGTAGCATAAATTTAAATGGGGGAAATATAACAAAGACTTTACAAAAAACCTGGGTATAATAGAATCTACAGTTAAAGTAAAGGTAAAGGGACCCTTGACCATTAGGTCCAGTCATGACCAACTCTAGGGTTGCGGCGCTCATCTCGCTTTATTGGGCGAGGGAGCCAGCGTACAGCTTCTGGGTCATGTGGCCAGCATGACTAAGCCGCTTCTGGCAAACCAGAGCAGCGCATGGAAACGCTGTTTACCTTCCCGATGGAGAGGTACCTATTTATCTACTTGCACTTTGACGTGCTTTCGAACTGCTAGGTTGGCAGGAGCTGGGACCGAGCAACGGGAGCTCACCCCGTCATGGGGATTCGAACCGTCGACCTTCTGATCGGAAAGTCCTAGGCTCTGCGGTTTAACCCACAGTGCCACCCGCATCCCTTAGAATCCACAGTTAAGCATGCTTAAATCCTGTTGATTTCAGTAAGATTTACATGTGCTCAACTATGTAGTGTATTATTACCATTCTCAAACTTGAGTCTTTAGCTACTGTTGAACTACAACTCCCATCATCCTAGCTAGCAAGACCAGTGGTCAGGGAGAGTGGAGTGGAGACCCAACCAGAAGTGGAGTGGAGATCCAAGTTTGAGAAATGTTGTCTTATTCCATTGCCCCACCAGAACCATCCCACTCTCTACTGTAGGTCTTCAGAAATGGGAGGCAGTGGGGTTGGAAAGCGGGGAAAGTTATGAAGCAGCAACACAACTAGAAAAGGAAGTTGGGGGACATGGAAGAGACACGTGGA